AAGTCCCACTGTTCTTCTCCGACTGCTAATGTAGACAGTGGCGCTACATTATAGGAACGATAGGTCATTAACGAAAGAATAAATCGGTCATTAATAAAACAAAATGAGTTGAAATGGGGTTTAAAGTCCCGCTGTTCTGCTCCGACTGCTAATGAAGACAATGGCGCTACGGCCTATTCTTATATCGGATTTCAACTGGCAAGGGATCTTTTACGTGCACGCCAATGGAATTCGATTTTAGTTCCATCCGAACGACTAGACAGCTGTCCTTGTCACGACCTCCGTTCTGCACCATTGACAAGGGGATACCAGGCCGGAAAATCTCGATGAACTTTCTCGGCTAACATCTGTGACATCCAGGCTTGCGAGCCAGCGTCTTACCCACTTAGCTACCCTGGCTCCTATTAATAAAACAACTAGTGGCACGCCCTCCCTTTCAACATATAACTGGTGCAACTGGTCATGCGTCTAGACCTTGACAATCGTACTTAGTCTTTGGTATACAAGACGAATTCCTGCTAATCGTACAACCAGGTGTACTACCAGTCTGCTGCAAGACACGGAACAGTCGGGGCAGGTCTTATTGTGTGACATCTAGAATACCATCAAAACGAAACACACGACCGTCCTGAATCGCATGGGTAATTTCACCTCACGTGTGAATGGAGGATTGATCCGGTGTTGATAGATAATGGGTTAGAAAAAAATACAAAATAGATTTGTGATCTAATTTTTATGAGATATTGATGTTAGACAGATTAGATAAAACAAATATTTTATTGACATTCTGAGGCAGCCATGATAGTGATGGGAGAACACGTGACAAGTGGCTGAATCCAACAGGGTTACACTTTAGTCAAAAAGATTTTATATTGATGGCCTTTACATTGTCTGAAAAAATTGTGACAGAACCATTTTGTTTATTCTAGTGCTACAGATGGCTAGATTAATTTATAAACATAGCTTGCTTGTTGGGGATCACGGTGCAGGGCCGTAACTAGCTCAGAGCAACAAGGGGGGCGGGAAGTGTTCTCAGGGGGGCTGTAATATTGACGGACAATGTATATCTATTTTTTTATGGTCGAAAACTTTTTCACGGGGGGGGGGGGCGAAAATTTTTGCAGGGGGCAAAGCTCCCCTCCCTGTGCCCCCCTTAGTTACGGGCCTGTCACGGTGGCTAAGTGGGTAAGACGCTGACTCGCTAGCCTGGAGGCCGGGTGTTCGATCCCTGCATTAACCGAGAAAGTTCATCCAGATTTTCCAGTGTGGTTCCCCCTTGTTAGTGATGCAGGACGGAGGGCCTGACAAGGACATCTGTCTAGTCCTTCGGATGAGACGAAAAACCGAGGTCCCGTGTATACATTGGAATGCACGTAAAAGATCCCTTGGCAGTTGGAATTCGATATAATGATATAAGAGTAGGTCGTAGTGCCGCTGTCCGGGAAAAAGTTCCATCATAGCACACTGTATGGCGCATGCCCGTCTTTATTAGCCCAGTTCAGAGCAGAAGAGTAGGACGTTAAACCCCATTTCATTTCATTTCAGAGAGGATGATTGAAACTCCATTGTCTGGACACAATGTTCCTCATGGCAATCTATGCCCGTCGTACTTAAAGATACATTATGCGAGATTCGATGAAGAGCTGATACTTCTCACTATAATAGTTAAAAACTAGATAATGTAAAGGGAATTTGCTGAAAATTTCAATAAAATTGATCCACCCTGAACCGAGAATTTAGCGATTGAAATTTCGGCCTAGCCTCGATCATCATTACTAAAGTCGGTACGATAAAAAACATAGTCTCGATTATCAATTTCGTAATTAAATCATGAATGAAAGTTGAGCAGCAAATCGGATCTTAATCTAGTAAAAAACGCAGGCTAGCGATGGCATCGATAGTTGATTATGGCCTGGATAAGTTAATTAATGTCTAATTAATAATTTATATAATATTTCAGGACTAAAGAAAGACCTGCAATAGGCAGATTTAGCTCTTGTATAATGTATGTTTAACAGAAGGCATACATACACACAGAATTTTTTAAAGCGAGAAATCCAACACGCCGTTTGACGTCAAGTTGTATTATGAATTAATAGGGCTACATTATGATCCAATTTCATTGACGCAAAGCATTAATTGTTATATCACATATGTCTTCCCTCGCCACCATCCGACGACAAACGATAAAGCACACGACTGTGACACTTTTCTCATAGAAAGTGCTGTTTTACAGTTTGTTTTTATGTAGCTGTGCGGCGGGGGAATGCCTCTCTGGATCCGCCCCTGGTTGTTTAAACATACATTATGACGTCATATTAATAATGACGTCATTGTAATTTAAACGTACATTATGCAAGAGCTAAATCTATCTATTGCGGGTCTTTCTTTAGGCCTGAAATGTTTTCTAAAGTATTAATTAGACATTAATTAACTGATCCGGGCCTTAATAAACTCTCGATGGCATCAGATTTCTCCGATATTAAATAGATTAGAATGGTTCAGCGATACTTTGATTTAATCAAATATAGAGGACCGAGACTTAGCTTCGATCAACCAGTACGGTGTTTGAAATTATTGCACACGTCTGTCAAACTTTCAAAGGGTAATATCTTCGCTTGCAATAGAGTAATTTGAATGGAATTTTCAAATTATTCATTTTACATCATCTACTTTCGAACAATTATAGCAAGAATGACTAGTTCTTTATCTAAATCTTACATAATGTATCTTTAATGGCACGTCAACAAAAACGGGGCTACATTGCACCAGACTGAATTTTTCTGTTTCTGCACGAACTAATAATAATAATAATAATAATAATGGATTTGTATAGCGCTTGGTATCCAAAAGTTTGCTCACTGAGTTAATCTGTCACGCAGATTCCTCAATCTGTTTCACGGGGGATTACGAAAGTCTTCTAATATCTCTGTAAAAGATGACTACCTTCAACACGTGACGTCTCATCACGCGGCGTCAATCACTGGCTCATTGGCGCGTGCATTGTTTACATAAGATGTTACTGGCACGGGCAGAATTGTGTCTTTTACTCATTTCAATACCCATTTACACTAAAATAGGAAGCAATTGTTACCTACAAATACGTCATACTTATTTATTTTTTTTTCTAATACATAAAAATAATGTTTTAGAATTTAATTTGTCGAAGGAAAAAAGTTAATATTTGTGTCTCATTAAGTCGCATCCTTATCAGTGACTGTAGCCGCCTAGCGAAAATTCACTGCTGATCATTGTGCAGTTTCCCATCATCTGCACACAATAGGTGTGTTTTTAGTAAGGATTTGAAATGAAATGAAATGAAATGGGGTTTAGTTTAACGTCCTACTGTTCTGCTCCTAACCTGGGCTAATGAAGACGGGCATACGCCATACAGTGTGCTATGAGGGAAATTTTGCCCGGACAGCGGCGCTACGGCCTACTCTTGTATCGAATTCCAACTGCCAAGGGATCTTTTACGTGCACACCAATGTGTACACGGGACTAGACAGCTGTCCTTGTCAGGCCCTCCGTCCTGCATCACTGACAAGGGGAAAACCACGCCGGAAAATCTGGATGAACTTTCTCGGCCAATGCAGGGTTATGGTCGAGGTCTAAAGCAGAGTAAAATGACATCACCATGTCCCTGGGGGCAGCCATCTTTGAACAGTCGATGGTCCGGACCATTCGCGTTCGGTTTTCTAGTTCCGACCACTAGTCGTGAAAGAATTATAACCAAAGGTCGCCCTGGAGGTCGGGTGTTCTATCCCTGCATTGGCCGAGAAAGTTCATCCAGATTTTCCGACGTGGTTCCTCTTTGTCAGTGATGCAGGACGGAGGGCCTGACAAGGACATCTGTCTAGTCCTTCAGATGAGACGAAAAACTGAGGTCCCGTGTATACATTGGAATGCACGTAAAAGATCCCTTGGCAGTTGGAATTAGATATAAGAGTAGGCGATAGTGCCGCTGTCCGGGCAAAATTTCCCTCATAGCACACTGTATGGCGGATTCCCGTCTTCATTAGCCTATCATAGGAGCAGAACAGTAGGACGTTAAACCCCATTTCATTCATTTTCTGTCTCCACATCTCACGTAGTTTGATCTCGGAATTTCTAGTTGAATTTTGTTTGAAGAACGGGTTTCTCTTTGTGATGATTTTATGCGAAGTAGATTCTTAAGGTAGGCAGGAGAGGTGATTTTTGGCTGTATACATTTGTAAGTTAAAGGGACAATAACATTCTTGCTGGCTTGAAAGCTCCAGAAAATAAATAATATCTCTATCTAAGTACCAGATGTTTAGGTGTCCTACCTGTTGTGTAAATTATCCATTACATCCTATTTTACTTGTCCAGAGGGTTCGAAAATATTTTTAAATCGAAGTTTCATTTGAAAAGGTTTACGTTAGACGTTTCAAACCATTATGTTAAATTTTTCACAATTTTTAAATTAGGTGTGTTAAGATGAAATTTGTATCATCAATTAATTGAAATATTGTAAAATAGTACAATTTGTTGACCAGAATAAAGATTGGGACATATTATTCAGTTACAACAAGAGTGGTATTGAGCCTTTAATAAAAGTATTTTGTAATTAATGCGTTAATTGATTGATAGGAAGCCAGTGTAAATCTTTCAGTACTGGTGTTATATGCTCATATGGTTTCGTTCAAGGGCCTGTTTCACGAAATTTTAACTAAGATAAATCCAAATTTTAGTAATTTGATTGGATAATATTAGGTTGATTTTAGTGCTTAGCCAATTAAAATAGAAGTATCTACTTAAATTTGAATTTTATCTTTAGTTAAGATTTCGTGAAACAGGGCCCTGGTTATAATACGGACGGCAGTATTTTGGATTTTTGAAGACGTTGTAATGTTAATGCAGGGCATCCAAAACTTAGGCTGCCTGTCTACAGCTAGCTCCGCCTGAGAACAGGCCCTAAGCTAATTACCCGACATTTTAATTCCTACATCGACGATTTTAGTCGAAAAAACTGAGTATGCTTTTAGTAATTTTTAAAAGTATTTATTTCTGTTCTATTGTCATATTGAAAGATATTAAATATGTTTATTTAGCCGCTGTGTGTATGAAAGATGTCAAACTAATCAAAGCTGAATCACAAAATAGTCCTCTAATTAAAATATATGGCGGCGCCCATGAAACATAATTTCACAGAGGCGGTTTTGTTTGCGAAAACAAATTTAGGAGTATCTAACCTTGTTTTGAAAGATAAACAGGTTGAAACTCTAAAGACAGTTTACAATGGCAAAGAATGTATTGTAATATTACCCACTAGCACATATTATATACATCTTTTAACGTAGTGGCAGAAGTTGACATTTTGCCAATGACACGTGTTTACATAATACATGTGCTTCATCGGGTTATTTTTACTCTGTTGTGTACACAAAGCAGTAGTCCAGTCGATAAGTCTCGCCCCAAAATGATCATGTGAGCGTTTTAAATGGAGTCTAACTGGGGCAGTGATCATAATCTCGATGTATGACGTAGAAGGATCGCTGCGTCAAGTTTGAATGCAGGGATGCCAAACAAAGCATTCGAAGATATTTTATCCATTTTACGTACATGATAGCGAAACTAAAAATAATAGACACAATTTTTGTCTGTCGAAAAGTTAATACACCGTCACAAGTTGAAATAAGACATTGCGTCAACCCAGTTGAAATAAGACATTGCATCAACCCAGTGGAAATAAGACATTGCATCAACCCAGTTGAAATAAGACATTGTATATTCGCCTTCTTTCAATGTTACATAATTATATTAAATTAAAATGGGTTCTTTAGACTACAGAATTTTTATGATCTGTATCTTTCAATGTTTGGTGTATTAAACCAGATTCTCCTGTTTTATCTGGTGGAGCAGATATATCATTAGACGTCAATTCATACACAACATTACATTGTGTTGGAATAGTATTGGCCGATGGTGTTTCAGGAACTAGAAATATATTGTCGTGGATATGAGCCGACTCTTTATCTCTAACAGGATGGTGTCTGAAATTCAAATATGACACATATTAATGAAATGGTGTATAACGTCCTACTGTTCTGCTCCGACCGGGATAATAAAGACGGTGGAGACACATATAAGAGTTCATACTCCCCTCAGTGTTTCGTTTGATTATACCTAATCCCACTTAACACTGCTGTAAAGGTAGCAAATTTCTGTTCCAAATTATGACTGGTCAATAGTCTGATTAACAACCAATAGCTAACGGCGTAACAATATCATTACGCTTTAAATAGAGCTCCAAATTGGACCACATATGTTTACATAACGTTACGTCACGATTTTATTAATCCCAATTAACCAGTGCATAGCAGAATATTGCTAACCCTTTAATATCCTAAATCACTGTCCAAAGTTTTAGGGAAGACCCTACATTAAACAAAGGGCTGCCAGGTTGCTGTACAGGAAGAATAGACACACTCCCTCCAAAGATCAAGTATCTGAAACCAATCCAGCAAGGGGATCACGTGCCTAAGTGGGTAGGACGCTAGCTCGCTAGCCTGGAGGTCGGGTGTTCGATCCCTGCATTGGCCGAGAAAGTTCATCCAGATTTTCCGGCGTGGTTCTCCCTTGTCAGTGATGCAGGACGGAGGGGCTGACAAGGAAAGCTGTCTAGTCGTTCGGATGGGACGAAGAACCGAGGTCCCGTGTACACATTGGCGTGCACGTAAAAGATCCCTTGGCAGTTGGAATTCGATATAAGAGTAGGCCATAGTGCCGCTGTCCTGGCAAAATTTCCTTCATAACACACTGTATGACATATGCCCGTCTTCATTAGCCCAGGTTAGGAGCAGAACAGTAGGACGTTAAACCCCATTTCATTTCATTTCCAATCCAGCAATGACCAGTGAGAGACTTTTCGGGCCATTGCTTCAGGAATATGATAAGAGGCCTATAGGTCGCTGTTTCGCCAATGAATTAACGGGTGATCATTTTTACTGAGGAGCCCCGGCATACAGAGAGACATGGAGAGAGAGAGAGAGAGAGAGAGACAGAGAGAGAGGGGGGGATTTTAACGTCCACTCAACACAAACTAAGTCATTTCGAGAGAGAGAGAGAGAGAGAGAGAGGGGGAGGTTTAACGTCCACTCAACACAAACTAAGTCATTTCGAGAGAGAGAGAGAGAGGTTTAACGTCCACTCAACACAAACTCAGTCATTTCGAGAGAGAGAGAGAAAGAGAGAGGGGGTTAACGTCCTCTCAACACAAACTAAGTCATTTCGAGAGAGGGAGAGAGAGAGAGAGAGAGAGAGAGAGAGAGAGAGGTTTAACGTCCACTCAACACAAACTAAGTCATTTCGAGAGAGAGAGAGAGAGAGAGAGAGAGGGGTTTAACGTCCACTCAACACAAACTCAGTCATTTCGAGAGAGAGAGAGAGAGAGAGAGAGAAAGAGAGAGAGAGAGAGATATGGTAATACCGTACCCGTGAGAACGTATTATGCACATAATGGCCAACACTATTCGGTCATAGTCTCACTACGGGGACATTTCGGTGTCCCCGCGACAACGGTTGTCTAAATCCTCTCAAAATTGCCGTAACGACTTTATTTTCAATCTCCGTAATTGTCCCCATAACGGTATGGGATAAGGCCCCCAGCTAGGTCAGTAGCCAATCGAAATGAGTGCCTAAATATGCAGGGTATTTCATGAAGGCCTCGATGAGATGTACGGAATTAAAGCGAGATCAGGCCTTCTATTGAAGGCACAAGCTACCGTGGTTTTTTTCACATACAATACTTAGCGATTTAGATCCTTTAATATTGGTATTCGTTGACTGAATGGTTATAAATATATTGCTTTAAATTACCTGTTTATGTAACAGTACAAGCCAACCATTCCTGTAACTAGTATCATGATACCAATGATCACACCAATCACACCAATCACACCAACCAATACTCGACCTACAGGTGGGCTTACTTCTAAAATAAACACGATTGTATTTGATAAAATCATGAAGTAATGAAAGGTCACCGGAAAAGCTTTATAAATGTTTTAAATAATGCAAGTAATTATGTTAACATATCCTTTCCATAAGAATAACACGATTCCGAATATGTTGAAATAATGACTGTAGCGCCATGGATCGTCTGTCAGACGTTGAGAGCTGACAGCAATAAAAACCGGTCACCACATTCTACGTATGAAGCAAGATATATTAGTTATATAGATATTTTCAATTTTGAAACAAACAGAACGACCATACAGTATGCTATAAGGGAAATTTTGCCCGGGCAGCGGCGCTATGGCCTAATCTTATATCGAATTCTAACTGCCAAGGGATCTTCTACGTGCATGCTAATGTATACCTCGGTTTTTCGTCCCACCCGTACGACTAGGCAGCTGTTCTTGTCAGGCCCTTCGTCTTGCACCACTGACAATAAAACACTATGATATTAAATATTTCAAACACACTCAAGGTTCAGTACGCTGACTAATTGTCTAAACGATAACCGGTCTAGAACTAAACTCAACTAAACTAAAAAGGTAAAGCCTATATTCTCCTGTGGTTTTTGAATTACAACGTAAATGACAACTTTGCGCCCCTCACCCTCACCATATTTGAAGATGGCTAAAAAATGAAATGAAATGAAATGGAGTTTAACGTCCTACTGTTCTGCTCCTAACCTGGGCTAATGAAGACGGGCATACGCCATACAGTGTGCTATGAGGGAAATTTTGCCCGGACAGCGGCACTACGGCCTACTCTTATATCGAATTCCAACTGCCAAGGGATCTTTTACGTGCACGCCAATGTGTACACGGGACCTCGGTTTTTCGTCCCATCCGAACGACTAGACAGCTTTCCTTGTCAGCCCCTCCGTCCTGCATCACTGACAAGGGAGAACCACGCCGGAAAATCTGGATGAACTTTCTCGGCCAATGCAGGGATCGAACACCCGACCTCCAGGCTAGAAGATGGCTAAAACATTGTTTTAAACATTACGGGTTCACACTGGTAAAGTGAAATTTTATAATTTTCACTACGAGAAAATATTTCATTTTCAAATAAATAATACCAACTTAGTAAGTAACAAAAAAGGGTGCAAAGAAAACGTGCGTTTTAACAAAGATCACTAGTTGTGTGATGTAAAATGTCGGTTTGTGTTATTGTAAATAGGTTCAACAGCGAGATATTGAACATATGCACAACCTTGTATAAAATTGATAAAATTATTCATTTCTCGGCAAGTACTGTTTTGTTTTATTGTAATTTTAGGTTCAACAGCGAGATATTGAACATAAGCACAAATATTAAGTACTATTGTAAAAAAAAATTGTCCTTTTCTCGGCAACTACTGAAATACAAATGTTAATCCGGACACCACAACATTCTAGGTCTGTTAGAAACAGAGATGGAACTATACAATCATGACTAACCTGTGGTACAGTTATGTCCTGTGTGGCCAGGTTGGCATCCTTCAACACATGTTCCATTATACGGATGACATACAGGTATAGTTGAACTAATTCTTGGTTTACAGGTAGAACTACAGGTGTTGTCACAATCTGAACTCCAATATCCTTCTTTACATTGTGTACATTTACCATCTCTATGATCACACCGGTCAATACATCCAGAACTACAAGTGTTGTTACACAGTGGGTCCCAATATCCGTCTTTACATTGTGTACACTCACCGTCTCTATAATCACACCGGTCCATACATCCAGAACTACAATGTTTGTCACACTTTGAACCCCAATATCCGTCTTTACATTCTGTACAATTACCACTGTACCGTTCACATTCACCTTTACATCCAGAACTACAAGAACTGTTACAATTTGAACTCCAATATCCTTCTTTACATTGTGTACACTTACCGCTGTACCGTTCACATCCACCTTTACAGGTAGCACAACAGGTGTTATCACAATCTGAACTCCAATATCCTTCTTCACATTCTGAACAATTACCGCTGTACCGTTCACAGGAACTACACGTATTGCTACACCTGTCTTGACACAATTCACCGTGATATCCGTCGATACATGTTGTACACGTACCCGATTCCTGACTACATCCACCTTCACAGGAAACACTACAAATAGCATCACAAGCCATACCATATCGACCTTCATTGCAACCATGTAAACATCTACCGTTTCTGGAGCAAATGTGTTTATTTTCTATCATTTTACACCCATCACTACAGGTTCCATTACAGAACTCGCCAACCAAGTTGTCTTTACAGCGTAAGCATTTACCGCCATCTTTGTAACAGCCAGCAAGACAGTTACCAGAACATGGTTGTCGACATTCATCACCAAACCAACCTTTATTACATTTAAAACATCCTCTTGAGTCACATGTTTCACAGTTGTTGTTACATTTAATTGTACATCGTCGACCACTGTAACCTGGTTTACATGTACACGATCCATCTGTTTTACTACAGTTACCAGTAGAACACCCTTCACTACATTTAAACTTACACCCTGGACCATAGTACCCGATTTTACAGCTAGAACAAGTTCCATCCCTTTTACACCCTTCATTGTAACAATTACCACTACAAGTAAGATTACAGCTTGAACCGTGATACCCTTTTTTACATCTGGAACAAGTCCCATTTCTTTCACACCCGTCATTGTAACAATTACCACTGCATTTTAACTCACAGTTTGAACCGTGGTACCCTGGTGTACAAATAGAACAAGTCCCATCCCTTTTACACCCTTCATCCCGACAATTACCACTACAAGTTAGGTTACAGCCTAAACCGTGATACCCTATTTTACAAATGGAACAAGTTCCATCCCTTTTACACCCTCGGCTGTAACAATTACCACTACAAGTTAGATTACAGTTTGGACCGTGATACCCTTTTTTACATCTAGAACAAGTCCCATTTCTATCACACCCGCCATTGTAGCAATTACCGTTGCATTTTAGGTTACAGCTTGGACCATGATACCCTATTTTACAAATGGAACAAGTCCCATCCCTGTCACACCCGCCATTGTAACAATTATCACTGCATTTGAGGTTACAGCTTGAACCGTGGTACCCTATTTTACAAATGGAACAAGCCCCATCCCTGTCACACCCTCGACTGTAACAATTACCACTGCAAGTTAGATTACAGCTTGGGCCGTGGTACCCTTTATTACAACTAGAACAAATCCCATCTCTATCACACCCGCCATTGTAACAATTACCACTGCAAGTTAGATTACAGCTTGAACCGTGATAACCTGGTTTACAACTAGAACAAGTCCCATCTCTATCACACCCGCCATTGTAACAATTACTACCACAAGTTAGGTTACAGCTTGAACCGTGATAACCTATTTTACAACTAGAACAAATCCCATCTCTATCACACCTGCCATTGTAACAATTACTACCACAAGTTAGGTTACAGCTTGAACCGTGATAACCTATTTTACAACTAGAACAAATCCCATCTCTATCACACCCGCCATTGTAACAATTACTACCACAAGTTAGGTTACAGCTTGAACCGTGATAACCTATTTTACAACTAGAACAAGTCCCATTTCTATTACACCCACCATTGTAACAATTACTACCACAAGTTAGGTTACAGCTTGAACCGTGATAACCTATTTTACAACTAGAACAAATCCTATCTCTATCACACCCGCCATTGTAACAATTACTACCACAAGTTAGGTTACAGCTTGAACCGTGATAACCTGGTTTACAACTAGAACAAGTCCCATCTCTATCACACCCGCCATTGTAACAATTACTACCACAAGTTAGGTTACAGCTTGAACCGTGATAACCTATTTTACAACTAGAACAAATCCCATCTCTATCACACCCGCCATTGTAACAATTACTACCACAAGTTAGGTTACAGCTTGAACCGTGATAACCTATTTTACAACTAGAACAAATCCCATGTCTATCACACCCGCCATTGTAACAATTCCCACTGCAAGTTAGATTACAGCTTGAACCGTGATAACCTGGTTTACAACTAGAACACGTCCCATCTCTATCACACCCGCCATTGTAACAATTACTACCACAAGTTAGGTTACAGCTTGAACCGTGATAACCTATTTTACAACTAGAACAAATCCCATCTCTATCACACCCGCCATTGTAACAATTACTACCACAAGTTAGGTTACAGCTTGAACCGTGATAACCTATTTTACAACTAGAACAAATCCCATCTCTATCACACCCGCCATTGTAACAATTACCACCACAAGTTTGGTCACAGTCTGGGCCGTAGTATCCTTTATTACATTCTCTACATCTACCAGTTGATTTATTACAGATGTTGTCTCTACAGTTATTGCATGGTTTACAGCTGGTTCTAGAAGCTTCATAATAACCATCACTACATCCACCATCTAATCAAATATGAAAATAAACAAACAATTATTTATAACAATTAAAAAGAAAATTTCTATCTATAGATAAATATTCATAAAGGAAAATTCTATCTATAGATAAATATTTATAAAGGAAAATTCTATCTATAGATAAATATTCATAAAGGAAAATTCTATCTATAGATAAATATTCTTAAAGGAAAATTCTATCTATAGATAATTATTCATAAAGGAAACAAACCATTATTCATAACAATTAAAAAGAAAATTTCTATCTATAGATAAATATTCATAAAGGAAAATTCTATCTATAGATAAATATTCATGAAGGCAAATTCGATCTATAGATAAATATTTATAAAGGAAAATTCGATCTATAGATAAATATTCATAAAGGAAAATTCTATCTATAGATAAATATTCATAAAGGAAAATTCTATCTATAGATAAATATTCTGAAAGGAATATTCTATCTATAGATGAATATTCACAAAGGAAAATTCTATCTATAGATAAATATTCATAAAGGAAAATTCTATCTATAGATAAATATTCATAAAGGAAACAAACCATTATTCATAACAATTAAAAAGAAAATTTCTATCTATAGATAAATATTCATAAAGGAAAATTTCTATCTATAGATACATATTCTTAAAGGAATATTCTATCTATAGATAAATATTCATAAAGGAAAATTCGATCTATAGATAAATATTCATAATGGAGAATTCGATCTATTTCGTTTCGTTTTTTATAGTTTCGAATTTTGTTTTAATAGAAACATCAACGCTGATTGGTTAATCAAATGTCGACGTCATAGGGTCAAAAGCCGCTCGTATGACCTCTGACGCGACCTTCCACTACAACCGGTCAGATAATGACTTCTGCCTGATTACTAACAATTTTAACTAACTAATACATATTATGTACATAAAATGACGTATTTGGTTTGCTAGTGTCGTTGTATTCATTTATGAAAGTTATTTGGTGCTTAGTCAACGATATCAACTTTACAATGTATGGCATTATCCTCCGAAAGATCTGTTTCTAAATTTCGTTGTATGGATTCCCATATCTACCAAAATGCCTATATCTTTACTAGAGAAAAAGGGATTTTTGTAAGAAAAATCGTGCCATAAATTATTATTAGAATCTAATCTATATGGGTTCGAATTCCAACAGTTACCCTTCTATCCGATTCTGGTGAATAAAATATGTTGTAATTTGTCTCTGCCCTAAATGACCGCAATATCCAAACAATAGTATATTGTTTTGTAATGCGGTTCTACTCCGTTTCACATCTGACATGCACATAAAGACTAATTAAACCTATTCAATTCCATTAAATGGAAGCAGAAAAATGCTTAACAAAATTCTCGAAGTATACTTAAAGATACATTATGGGAGATAAGATAAAGAGCTTACAGTTCTCACTATAATAGTTTTAAAAACTAGATAATGTAAAGGCAGTTTGCAGAAAATTTCAGTCAAATTGATCAACTCTGAACCGAGAATTTATCGATTGAATTTTCGGCCTAGCCTCTATCATCATTACTAAAGTTGGTACGATAAAAAAAATAGTCTCATGAATGAAAGTTGAGCAGCAAATCGGATGCTGATCTAGTAAATATCGCAGGTAGCGATGACATCGAGAATTGATTATTGCCTGGATAGGTTAATTAATGTCTAATGAATAATTTAGATAACATTTCAGGCCTAAAGAAAGACCTGCAATAGGCAGATTTGGCTCTTGCATAATGTGTGTTTAATGTTTTCGACTAAAATCGTCGATTTAGGAATAACATGTTGGTCAACTAGCTTCGTGTTTATTCTCAAGCGGAACTAACTGTAGACAGACAGCCTAAGTTTAGTATGGACTAATCTGTATGTAAATGCAAGTTTCTAACTTTAATAATAATATAAGATGGGTATATATTTGACACTAACCTGTACATATTCCACATAGCTTCATACAATGTGTGATCTGCCAATCTTCAGAGGGGTAGGGGAAACAGTTAGATTTATATGTCATACAAACAAAGGTGTCTTCACACACATCTAGTGCTAAAATAATTAATCGTATTTTAAAGCGACAATTTTATATTTTCTGAGAAAGTCAAAACATAATTATTTCTATGTCTTTTGCTCAGTAGGTTGTCAACTTACTATTATACGATCATAGGTATCATTCTCCCACTTATAAATCCTTGACCCCGGAAATAATAACACAATTACCTCCCTTGTTTTCCTATTCCCCAACATGGAATAGCTATCTTCAAACGTTTGAATTTGATGTTGAAAATGATATTTTTGCCAATTTCTCAACTGGCAATAGTGAATTATAGGATTAATAGGATTATTCTTTAAAAAGGTAGGACTGTTTTTAGACACCATCTATTTTAAGGCTTTATTTTAATACATTTTAAAAATATAACTTAAAAATATGAAATTGCAACTTTAATATTAGACAAATGATGGCTTCAGGTTATCGTGGCTAAGCATCTAACTCAATATCATCCAAAGCCTTCGACATTGAAAACACGAATTATTTGTCAGTTTAAATCAACATTGATGTTGTGATCTTACCGGGAAAAGATGGGCTTCTGATATCCAATATTTAAGACACAATAAACAGTTTACCATTGGTACACGAATTGTGTACCATAATGCGTTTCAACGCCATTTGTAACAAGGGACTAGAAGAACGAGGCTCGACATATTCCACTAGTCATTCAAACGGAGAGCATGCGCAATAAATACTATCGGTGCAGACTGGAATAACCAGACGATAGAGATTATCATTCGATTGAGACTTCTGGCGTATTTCGCCGAACATAACTGATTTGAAATTAAGAGTAAAACAGAAACGATTGAATGTAAATCAGTTAATATACATTCATATTACATTAATATATGCGTTGAAACCCATTTGTGTCAATTTCTAGGTCCCAAATATTAGCCATTTAGCTCCTTTAAAACATAAGGCTCTTATCGTTTAATTGTAATTTCAAAATGTTTTATTTTGTTGTTGTATGTCCAGGAGACACCATACTCGATGAAAAAGCATCCGTTTGTTCGTTAATGTCATAGAATATACTCATAATAATACAAGATAACAGGGTTATTTATTCCTTTCTACGACACAAGATGCAATATAATACAATACGTAACTCAGAGCGGTACTTAAGGATAAAGCGGTGGCTAATTTAGATAAGAGGTCGGACAACCACCCTCCATCCTCCACCATAATTGATTTCTTTTACCAAAACAAAATATTGATATGCTCTAACTTTCTACCTCTCAAATATAATTATTATACCATCTGCTAATACATTTTGAGTGAATGAAATGAAATGGGGTTTAACGTCCTACTGTTCTGCTCCGAACTGGAGCATACGTCATACAGTGTACTGTGAGGGAAATTTTGCCCGGGCAGCGGCACTATGGCCTACTCTTATATCGAATTCCAACTGTCAAGGGATCTTTTACGGGGTACACGGGACCTCGGTTTTTCGTCCCATCCGAACGACATTTTGAGTAAATATTGACCCAAGAACACATTGCTTCTATGATGGTCCTAGTAAAATGGTTGGATTTTCCTCTAAAAATAAGATATTATTATACGAATGGAAACGTAACTGAACAAAACCTACCTTTAATAGAATAAATAAATATAAAACTGACTAAAATGAATCTCCAGACCACCATGCTGATTATATCTAGTACTATAATATAATGTATAATTATATTAGGAAGAAACAATTGCTGTTAAATATCTTCATTGAGTAGACTTTCAACTGTATATGTAACATCAGTATAATTAGACCGACAAATGATTCATCTATCAATTTTAAGTAATGAAAAGGAAATAACACAAATAAATCTTAAGATTTAAGTACAACATAACGAGGGTTCGGATGGCCAAATGATTAGCGCGTGCGGGTTGTATCATACGGTCTGTCATTGAGTCAGCTGGTGTGGTTTTGATTCCCCGGTTGTACGTGACAAGGAGTATGGTTGCCTGTCCAGCGTCGTGGGTTTTCTCCGGGTCATCTAATTTCCTCCCACTGCTAAAGACCCCTACGCGCAAGCGAATTATTGAAATAAAATTGAACCATATGTTAGTCCCGAAATGACCGGGTTTGTGTCGAGTGGACGTTTAACCCCATCTCTCTCTCTCTCGTACAACATAACAGACTATATACAAAATCAAGAGTACCTTTTTATTCTGAAAAAAAACCCCCAACAGATGCTGATCCAAACATTGAAACTTAACATTGGTTTCTACTGATGTCACGCTATCATTCTGCACACAGAGATCTATTTAATTCATACTTCGAGAATAGATCTCTGTCCTAAATGGCCGCCATATCCTAAAATTAGTATATAGTTTTCTACTGCGCTTCTACTCACACCTGGCACACACACAAAGACTAAATAAACCTATTCAATTCCATTGATTGGAAGCAGAATGAATTCTCGAAGGTGACTAAAATCGTCGATTTAGGACTTAAAATGTCGGTCAACTAGCTTAGTGTCTGTTCTCAAGCGGAGCCAACTGTAGACAGACAGCCTAAGTTTAGTATGATAGGAGCTAACTGTAGACAGACAGCCTAAGTTTAGTATGATAGGAGCTAACTGTAGACAAACAGCCTAAGTTTAGTATATCAACTGTATGTGTCCTATATAGACAAATCTGTGTCCTACGCCTATGGTTTCTGTTATCCAAAATGAAACTACGAAATTCAAGCGATTTATGTCACCAAAACGCATTATTACCATTGAAACCTACTAGTAACTCAAATGCCAAAGTCACGAAAGCGGCAAAATTTTCCAAAATTTTCTTGGAAGGTCCCTACACGGCAGTTGGAATAAGATATAAGAGTAGACCTTAGCTCCGCTGTCCAGGTCAAATTTATCTCATAGCACACTGTATAGCGTATCATTAGCCCAGTTGGAGCAGAACAGTAGGACGTTAAACCCCATTTCATTTCAGGATTTCACTTTTAGCACTCTGTCCAACCGTTCAATCAGTCGAAGGGCGAGTCGTTTATATTTGGCGACACCAAACGACTCCACAACGATGGTTGCTAGGTAGAACTAGAAGGGTAAAATTCTAAATTTGTTCGATGTTCATGCTAAACATGAAGAAGACATTTTTCGTCTTAATAATAGAAATAAGATGAAATAGAATTAAAATTTACGTTGAACAAAAAAAAAATTGGATTATACATTGTCTTAAATTAGAAATTACATGAATAGAAGTTAGAAATTAGACGACATAGCACGACATTATCAAATTTAGAATTTTGAATCTGTACGTTGCTTGTTTACTTCACAATTCCCGAACTTATAGCTATGTTATCTACAGACACGTGAGCAGTAGCGTCCAATCAGAGATTGTGGCATCGCGACCTCCACGGAAACCTTGACATTGAATGAACCTTGAACTTTGCAACTCGATTATCACAGGTAGACATTTTAGCTTGAAAGCGCGAGACTTAGTAATCGTGACGATCGAGGAATCTGATAGGCCCACAAGCTGAACTTGTACCCAATCGATATTAGTATTACGTAAAGGCCTTGATAAGATGTACGTAGTTAAAGCGAGATCAAGCCTTCTATTGAAGCCATAATCCAGGTAGATATACGGTGTACTGGCCCCAGTTCACAAATCATTCTCAGACTTAAGTTGAGAATTTGCTCAACTTTCAATCACTGTTTATGAGAAATATCTTTGATGCAGAAACACAAAACTTTGCACATAGTTTCTTATTGATGTATCTGATACATTAAAACAACAAAATTGTTATAAAGGGCTATATTTTAGTTAAAATAAGGTGAACAAGTTTGAGTAAATTCTCAACTTAAGTCTGAGAATGCTGTGTGAACTTGGGGCCTGGTCATTTTTATTAGAATACTAAAATCAACATGGATAAACAACCATTTCTAAGCTATTCATCTAATGTTATGGATTACATGATTTATTAAATATGTCGGGTGGTCAGCGCCGAATTAATAGACTGCAACAATTTTATTCTATATCTTGATAACAATCAATAGCTAATAACATTTGTATTTCAATTTTGTTAACAAACACAACATTTATAAATACTACCTACATAGTGTATATATCACAGTATGTTATCACAGTAATATAACATTATTACACAGTATAATACATAATAGTACATGAAATCATTACACAGTATAAACCATGCTATGAAATTACACTGTATAAACATCAATATGACATTCTTATAGCCCGTTCAGACGCTTATTCTTAAACCAGTTCATAATCGCTGTGGTTTTTAAGACAGCGTCGTGTTGCGTTCACACGTATTATAAGCCAAACCAGTTTAACTATTCTGACCTCTTCGGTCGGAGGTTAGAGTTAACTACGCATGGGTAGCTTCATATTCTTTATTCGGTTCTCGCACGCTTTCGATAACATTGGCACTGTATCTGACCCTGATATTTTCATGGGAATGTAACTTACTGCATACTGCGCATGCTCAAAGCAAGCTGGAGCTGGGTTTTTTAAGCCAACCCGTTCAGACGGCTAAGATGAACCAGTTTAAAATAAAAAGCCTTCTCGAAGACAGGTCCCGAGCAGGGGTTTTTAAACTGGTTTATTTGTCCCACATTTGCGTTCAGACGCTTAAGTTAAACTGGTTTAACGATCGCCGGGTTTTTAAAACCAGTTCAACTTAAGCAGCTGAACGGGCTATTACATATGAAATTATTACACAGCATCATAAAAAGATAATATTGTATTATTACACAGTATAAAATATAATATTATAAAACTTAATATTATATTATTACACAGTATAAAAGATAATATTATATTATAACACAGTATAAAACATAATATTATATTATTACACGGTATAAAACATAATATGACATTATTACACAGTATAAAATATAATGAAATTTTTCCAGAGGATAAATCTATCCCATATGCTGTGTTATTTTACTAAATGAAGCATACAAAGTACATGGACTTATGTAAAAATGTTTTGTTCAAGATGCTTATCAACCTTTTTTTGTCAGATTTATAAATACATTATCTTGAATGATTAAATAACAGTAGATTCCAGGAAATAAATATGATTTAGATAAAGAGCTGGCCATTCTTGCAATAATAGTTCAAAAATAGATAATGCAAATTGAATATATTGAAAATTTCATTCAAATTACTTTATTGCGAGCAAGATGTTCGCATTTGAAGGTTTGGCAAGATGCGTGCATTAATTGCAACCACTATACTGGTTGTTTGAAGCTAAGCCTCGGTTCTCCCTTTTTTCAATTAAATCAAAATATGGCTGAACCATTTTAATCTACTTAATATCGCAGATATCCGATGGCATCGAGAGTTGATTATGATCTTGTCATGTTAATACACAAATGTCTAATTAATAGTTTATATAACATTTAAGTCCTAAAGAAAGGCCTTCAATAGACAGATTTAGCTCTTGCATAATGTATGTTTAAATATGAGTATACTTATTAATACAGTGTCATGTGTTTATAACTTGCTAAAAATGTTTATAACTTGCTAAAAATGTTTATAATTTACAATAAACTGTTGACCTATGAAGTAAACAATTGACTTTTACTTATGAATATATTTGACATTTATTGATATAAGTCATAGGATAGGAACCACTGTTATCAATTTAATATGGCCTCGAAGGTCAATGTTATGGCATTACTATTGATGTTGTAGAACCTTGTACACAGAAATGAAGAAAATCAGTTCTGGTACCGTGTATTATGGACCCGTGGTGACTCAGTGGGTAAGACGTTGGCTGCTAACCTAGAGCTCCCGTCTTCTATCCCTGTCTTGGCCAAGAAAGTTCATTTCGGCGTGTATCCCCTGCCATTGGTGCAGGACAGAGGGCTAAGCAAAATGCAGCGTATAGTCATTCAGATGGGACAAAAAGCCAAGTTCCCATGAACACACTAGCACGCACGTAAAAGAACCCTTGGCAGTTGGATTTCAATGTAAGTGTAGCCCGAAGCAAAATTTCCTTCATAGCACACTGTCCCATTTTATTTCACTTACCCTATGGAATACACTAACACTGGTACATCATTTATAAGGTCTTGCCCCTGAGTTCACAAAGCATTCTCAGACTAGTAAGTGCAGGAGGACCACACTACACACAAAACAAAAATCTACAAGATAAACTTGCGGACAAGACAGAAAATAGACATTGCACCAAATAAACAAATATCAAATCAAGTGACTGTATCTGGGGGGGGGGGGGGGGTAACCTATGGCACTATTAAAAAAATAATCTAATATAAAAAAAAAACAGTTCTATGGAACAATAGTTTGGAAATGCACTACAAAACTTAATGTAGAAAAAATCACTTGTCTCGACATTTTTCAAGGATCTGAGGTAGCCTAGTCTGGTCAATATTTACACCAGGTGGTAAAGGGTTAAAGTTTAAATATTTACCTATATCAGGTGTTGAAGGGTTAATATCATTTAAAGTTCAACTATTTACCTGTATCAGGTGGTGAAGGGTTAAAACTACACTTAAAAGTTCAAATATATACATATATTTACTGTGAAGTTTCACGGTAAATGATGAAAAGATAAAAGGTATGCCAAAAAAAACTGATATCAACACTGGTTTAATAACATTTTAACATTTTAAAGTACTTTTCATCTGTCTTGGGACTATTCATAAATAATGTCATGGATATATATATATATATATATATATATCAGGTGTTAATATAAAGGGTTAACTACATTTAAAGTTAAAATATTTACATATATCAGGTGTTGAAAGGTTAACTACATTTAAAGTTCCCATATTTGTGTTTACGAATTTAAAGTGACTCTTTTATTTATGGTGAACACACACACTGTGTATTACAATAACATTAATGTCTTCTACCTAAAAATAAAAAGTTCTCCTCCAAATATATGTTTATTGTCTAGTGATTTCACCAGGTAAAATTTATTTCCCAACAATTATTTGTCAATGTCTATGTCAAGATGGTATATCTTACCTAGTTTTTTTTGTTTTTAATACTTATTACCCGTAGAACACATTTTAGCCCTTATTTATTTTTATTAACTTAAAAAAAAAGATTTCTAATTCTCTTCTGCAGCGGGGGAGGGGGTGGAGGAGACATGGCGAAATGATTTAATACGTGGACGAGAGATCATAAGGTCTGTCATAGAATGGCGTGGTTTCAATTCCCCTGTCGTTTCAATTCCCCCGTCGCCTGTCCAACCTGGTGGGTTTTCTCAGGGTCATGCGGTTTCCTCCCACTGCTATATACCCCTACATGCAAGCGAATTATTGAAATAAAATTGAACCATATATTAGTCCCCAAATGACCTTGTTTGTGTCAATGGGATGTTAAATCTCTCTGTCTCTGTCTGTTTGTCTCTCTGTCTCTGTCTCTCTGTTTGCTAAGAATGTTGTCTACAGGGTGAAGCACTATTAAAATGAGTTGTAATCATCCCAGTTATTCTCGTTTTACACAGAAAACAAAAGTTGGTTTTACAATTCCAACATTTCATATGGTTATTGGTACCATTTTTCAAGTTATTTTGTTTACACATGGGACAGACTATCAATTTACTACGTGCATCAGGATTAAGTTGCAGGTTAACCTCAATCCATAATGCACCCTGAAAAACACAAGAAACACAACATAAACAGGATTTACTCGGGGGGTTGGATGGCTGAATGGTTAGTGTGTGCGCGCTGTATCATAAAGTCTGTCATTGAGTCGACTGGCGTGGTTTCGAATCCCCGGTTGTACGTGGCAAGGAGTAGGGTCGCCTGTCCAACCTTGTGGGTTTTCTCAGGGTCCTACGGTTTCCTCCCACTGCTAAAGACCCCTACGCGCAAGCGAATTGTGTAAATAAAATTAAAACCATATGTTAGTCTAAGAATTTACTCAACTTTCAATCACTGTTTATGAGAAATATCTTTGATCCAGAAACACAAAACTTTGCACTTATTCTTATTGATGTATTTGATACATTAAAACAACAAAAGTTTTATAAAGGGCTATATTTTAGTTAAAATAAGGAAAACAATTTTGAGTAAATTCTTAACTTAAGTCTGAGAATGTTTTGTGAACTCCGGACCTGATGATAAATGTAGTCTGTTGATGAGTGTTCATAAGAAATTGTGGACTCTAGACCGATAAAAATGTTGACAATATACAACAACATTGTGAGTCTATTCAAACATGGGGATCACGTGGCTAAGTGGGTAAGATGCTAGCCTGCTAGCCTGGAGGTCGGGTGTTTGATCCCTGCATCCAGATTTTCCGGCGTGGTTCTCCCTTGTCAGTGATGCAGGACGGAGGGGCGGACATGGAAAGCTGTCTAGTCGTTCGGATGGGACGAAAAACCAAGGTCCCGTGTACACATTGGCGTGCATGTAAAAGATCCCTTGGCAGTTGGAATTCGATATAAGAGTAGGCCGTTGTGCCGCTGTCCGGGCAAAATTTCCCTCATAGCACACTGTATGGCGTATGCCCGTCTTCATTAGCCCAGGTTAGGAGCAGAACAGTAGGACGTTAAACTCCATTTCATTTCATTTCATTTCATTTTCATTTCTATTCAAACATGTCTAAGTTCTTTAAGAAATATATTCCTAACTAACTGTTACATATGGTTGGTTGGCAAAAAAATTAACAGAATGTGTGCAATACAGGCCTGGAAATAACGGTTTTAGATGTCAGGCACTAATGAAAAAGTACCTGACATTTTCAACTTAGTGCCGGACATGTATTAATAATATCAATAAAAAGACAAATCAGTGCCGAACAAAATGACAGGCACCAGAGGTGTAGTGCTTGACAAAGCCTGAATCTGTGCCAGACATTGCCTGTGACAGGTGCCTTATTTCCAGGCTTGGTGCAATAATGTTTATGCAACTTACCTCTGCTGGCATTCGTATAGTTCCTCTGTCCAGTGGGCCGGGATTTAAAGGTGCCATTAAGGAACAAGTCTTATAATGGTCGTATCCATTTATAGCAACACAACATGCCCAGCAAAAACTCTGACCACATCGACAAGTCATCTTGTTACACCTGGCAATATTTATATTGTATATTTAAATTGTATATTTATATTGTATAGTGTATATTGATATTGTATATTGTATATTTTATATTGTATATATTTATATTGTATATTTAGTTCATGCTGTATTATATATCTTTCATACGAAACCAAAAAATTGAGGAAGCTAAGAAACACCACTTGTCATGGTAATTTGATTTTTGTTCTAGAACACATTCGGATGGCCGAATCGTTAAAGCGTGCACGCTGTATCATAAAGTCTGTCATTGAGTCAACTGGCGTGGTTTCGATTCTCCGGTTGTACGTGACAAGGAATAGGGTCGCCTGTCCAACCTTCCTGATTTTCTCCAGATCCTCCGGTTTCCTCCCACTGCTAAAGACCATATGTTAGTCCCAAAATGACCTAGTTGTGTCAGTGGACATTAAACTCTCTAATGACTATAAAATTGACCTACCCAGCAATTTTTTCAATTAATATTTTACATTTCGGACATTTTCTTGTCCTAGATTGCAGTATTTTACGGTTTTCTATTTCGTCTTTTATTTTCTTTCGTAATTCTTCAAATTTTTTTTGGGCTGCAGCATTTTGGGCACCACCTTTCTTCTCTAATTGTTGTAGTTTATCTTCATCCGTTTCACATGGTTTTGACTGAAATAAAAAAAACCCCGGAAACATGTATTTTGATTTTTGTAAACATATTTTTCAGCATCGGAAATTGTGATTACAAGGAATAGGATCGCCTGCCCAATTTCATGTGTTTTCTCTGGGTCCTCCGGTTTCCTCCCTCTGCTAAAGACCTGTACGCTTGTGAATCATAATTGAACCAAATGTTAGTCCACAAATGGTCTAGTTTGTGTCGAGTGGTCAATAACCCAATCTATCTCTATCTTTCTGTCTGTCTATCTATGTTTCTCTGAAATTGTGACAGGAAGCATTTTCGGACATCTATTAATTTGTCAACAGTACACCTTGGAACACATGAAAAAATAGCGGCACATCTGGCTAAATATATATGAAATATATTTGAATTTTGCAAAATAAAAATATGGCAAGGCATAGACGGCATACAACCATAGACAGAGTCTAGTCATAGACACATAGAATGACTCAAACTAAACAAGCCAACAGTGAGGCTGATGTCCCCCGCTGAAATAGGAAAATAATTAGAGGACACATATAAAAATCAAATTGCGTATCGCTCTGCTTACCCTGAGCAGAAAATGCTCATTATCAAACTTAGTCAAGGTATTACTGTAATGAAACTATACACCAAGTTTCATCAATCTCACTTAATTAGAACTAAAGTTATCGTGTCCCAAAGCATCAACCAATCAAATTGCTTATCTCTGCTTACCCTAAGCGGAAAATGCTCATCTTCGAACTCCATCAAGGCATTGACCTAATCAACAGAAACCAAGTTTGAACATTCTAGCTCAATTAGGAAGAGAGTTATCGTGCCCCAAAGTTTTAACCAATCAAATTGCTTATCTCTGCTTACCCTAAGCGGAAAATGCTCATCTTCGAACTCCATCAAGGCATTGACCTAATAAACACATACACCAAGTTTGAACATTCTAGCCCAATTAGGAAGAGAGTTATCGTGTCCCAAAGCATCAACCAATCAAATTGCTTATCTCTGCTTACCCTAAGCGGAAAATGCTCATCTTCGAACTCCATCAAGGCATTGACCTAATCAACACATACACCAAGTTTGAACATTCTAGCCCAATTAGGAAGAGAGTTATCATGTCCCAAAGCATCAACCAATCAAATTGCTTATCTCTGCTTACCCTAAGCGGAAAATGCTCATCTTCGAACTCCATCAAGGCATTGACCTAATAAACACATACACCAAGTTTGAACATTCTAGCTCAATTAGGAAGAGAGTTATTGTGTCCCAAAAAGTGTGACGGACAGACAGACGGACAGACAGACGGACGGACAGACGGACAGACAGACGGACAGACAGACGGACGAACCCATTTTAATAGTCCCCTGCTTTCTTCGAAAGGCGGGGGACAATAAAGACAGCTATGAACTTAAGAGTAGACACCAGTGAATATTAAAAGATTGGGATCACATGGTTTTTAACATTTTCTTAGTGTGCCGTTATTGAGAATCGCTGATTTAGAATGATAATTATTATTTTGTTACCTGGGAATATATACTGATGTCCAAAAGAAAGTATACACACTAAAAGTATGACTAAGTTTTGATTAGATTAAAAACATTTGATAAAGCATTACTGAGTTTGTCTCTTCCGTCCAAACTCAACATTTCTAAGCAAAATAAAAATGTGAAACAAATTGACATTCTACCCAAATACCGTATACCATGGAAAAACGACTTTGGTTGATGCAGCACAAAATGCACAGTGTATACTTTCTTTTGGACATTAGTATAGATAGGGGTTTGTCAAGCCCACCTAGCTGTAAAATCAACTTTATCTGATTCACAAGATATAAAAGTCAAAATATAAATGTGGAGAATTTTTGAAATTTGAGGATCCCAAAAAATCTGAATTTCAATATGAATTTCAAAATACCCTAAATTAAGTTTACAAGATCAAAAAGTCAAAATAGGGAATTACTTATAAATAATCCAATATTTTTAATCGGCTTCTTCTAAAGTAATGTTTATTCAAAGTTGCAAAACAATCTGTTAGACAAAGTCACCACCTACAAAACATCCTACTTTTAATAACCCTTCAACATAAATGAAATGAAATGAAATGGGGTTTAATGTCCCACTGTTCTGCTCCTATACTGGGCTAATGAAGACGGGCATACGACATACAGTGTGCTATGAGGGAAATTTGCCTGGTACGGTCTACTTTTATATCGAATTCCAACTGTCAAGAGATCTTTTCCATTATGCTTTTGTATGACATGGGAGATAAGTAACCTAAATGTTTGTGAATTTCAAACAAATATAGCAACGGCTAGATGATGGAAAACTTGCAGTGTTGCTTCAGGAACATGTCTATAATGCGGCCTATTTGAAAAACAAGGGTATAAAAATATATCAAGAACTATTTATCTATGGAGTGTCAAGAAGAATGTGGATTGAAAGAGAGAGAGAAATGAGGTTTAACATCCACTCGACACAAACTAGGTCATTTTGGGACTTGCGCGTAGGGGTCTTTAGCAGTGGGAGGACACCGGAGGACCCGGTAAAAACCCACGAGGTTGGACAGGCGACCCTACTCCTTGTCACGTACAACCGGGGATTCGAAACCACACCATTTGACTCAATGACAGACCTTATGATACAGCACGCACGTGCTAACCATTCGACCATCCAATCCCCCGGATGGATTGAAAAACGGAGGTGATATCAATATAGGTCAACATTAAATGTATAAAAATAGACTGACCATTTAAGTCAAATCAAATCCGCAAATTAACATAACATTGTTACTTGTCAAGAAATTAACCTGATGCCATGATTTGTTACATCTGTACACAATATTATTATCATTACATCAGGTCAAATTCATTATATTCAGTACCAAATATTATCATTACATCATGCCAGAATTCATTACATTCAGTAAAAAAATATTATCATTACATCATGCCATAATTCATTACATTCAGTAAAGAATATTATCATTACATCATGCCAGAATTCATTACATTCAGTGAAAAATATTATCATTACATCATGCCAGAATTCATTACATTCAATGCTGTAAAGAAACTATTCATTACATTCTCTACAGAATATTATTATCGGGCTATACTATATACCGGAAAACACTGAAAAACACCGGAAAACACAGGAAAACTACCGGAAAACTACCGGAAAACAACACGTTATACTGAATACCGGAAAACACCCAAAAAACACTAAATACCGGAAAACTACCTAATTATACCAGAAGCCACCCTTAATAAGAACCCGAAAAAGGGCTATACTATAAACCGGAAACTAACTCTAACCCTAACCCAGGCACACGGAGGACCAGGCTCCCTATTGAGGGTGCCAATCTCCGGGTTACCTATTTAGGGTATTTTCTGGTATTTAGTGTGTTTTCCGGTATTTAGTGTTTTTCTGGTGTTTTCCGGTATTCAGTATAAAATGGTGTTTTCCGGTTGTTTTCTGGTATGTAGTATTGCCGATTATTATCTAAAGCAACTATTTAGGGAGAGGGATTTACATAGGCTAAGCCTGTCCACCAATCCTATTCAGACAATCTGATTAAAAATATTGTTTATAAAAAAAAACAACTATTCATTACATTCTCTACAGCAGGGATTCTCAACCAGTGTTCCGCGGCACAGATCTTTCTAAGTGTGCCGCGAAATTTTGAACCGTACACTAAGAAAATGCGAAAAATCATTCCCAATTTAAGTATTCACTGGTGTCTACTGGTAACTTCATAGCTGTGTTTTTCTTTATTTAGTTTGAGTCACTATGTGTCTATGACTAGTTCGTGTCTACGGTTGTATGGTGTCTATGACTTGTCATGTTTTTATTTTGCAAAATTCAAATATTTTTCATATTTATTTAGCCAGGTGTGCGGCTATCTTTTCATGTGTTCCAAGGTGTGCCGTTGGCAAAAAGAGGTTGAGAACCACTGCTCTACAGAATAATATTATCATTATTACCTGGTGCCATGATTCATTGCATTCCGTACAGAATGAATAAAAACAGTTGATACAATGAGCTAGATTTAAATCATCTTCTATTTCCTTAATAACTGGTTCATTACATCTCGGACACCAGACCACATCACTCATGCTAGTTAATGTTTTCTACAATTAATCAAACATTAGACAAATAATCTTAAAGGATAATAAACTTAACAACAAAACACATACTTATGGAAAATAATAAACTTGTTTCAGTGTTGTCGTATAAATGGGGTTTAACGTCCTACTGTTCTGCTCCTATACTGGGCTAATGAAGACGGACATAGGCCATACAGTGTGCTATGAGGGAAATTTTGCCCGGGTAGCGGCGCTACAGCCTACTCTTATATCAAATTCCAACTGCCAAGGGATCTTTTACATGCATTCCAATGTGTACACGGAACCTCGGTTTTTCGTCCCATCCGAACGACTAGACAGCTGTCCTTGTCAGGCCCTCCATCCTGCATCACTGACAAGGGGAAACCACGAAGGAAAATCTGGGTGAACTTTCTCGGTCAATGCAGGGACCCGACCCGACCTCCAGGATAGCGAGCCAGCATCTTACCCACTTAGCCACGTGATCCCCTGTGTTGTCGTATACCCTTGACTTCAATAGCTAAGTTCATGCTGTTTATTTTATGGGGGGGTTGGATGGCTGAATGGTTAGCGTGCGCGCGTTGTATCATAAAGTCTTTCATTGAGTCGACTGGCGTGGTTTCGAATCCCCGGTTGTACGTGACAAGGAGTAGGGTCGCCTGTCCAACCTCGTGGGTTTTCTCTGGGTCCTCCGGTTTCCTCCCACAGCTAAAGACCCCTACGCGCAAGCGAATTATGTAAATAAAAAAAATTAAACCATATGTTAGTCCCGAAATGACCTAGTTTGTGTCGAGTAGACGTTAAACCCCATTTCTCTCTCTCTTTCTCTGTTTATTTTATCACATCCCGTCAGCAGGACGATAAACCCCATTTTATTTCATTTCATTTATTTATGACAATATAGAGGTCTAGATTTATGCGAATACTTATGCGTGAAATCTGCTAAATTGCTGTCATTTTTCTATGGCCTAAAACAATTCTATGGTTGACAACTAAATTTGTCACTAGAGTTACCCCCCCCCCCTTAGGAAATATTCTGGAGGTACTCAATTGAACGTTCCAGAATTGAATTCCTTCAATCCCAAAAATAGTGACAATCGAGTGAAAAGGTGGATTTCGGGCTATAATGTATGCGTCGACTGAATATAAGTAAATATCTCAACCATGCAGCCGAAACCGTTTATTTACGTCATGATTCAACTCACACCACCTCCATTGTCGGGACTGACAGAACTGTGACAGAAATGAATTCCACCTAACTCAGTTGGAATTCTGTCAATTCGGCACGTTCTGGACTGTGAATCGAGCATCCCCAACAAGTAATCTTGGTCAATAGCCCGTTGGAAATGGCTACTTTCGGTTTGATCTCATATAAAAATATATTTTTTCTTGTCTAGCAAATGTGGGTCCACAACAAGGAGGCTTGTTTCCTAAATTTTAGTTCATTTTCTTTTATCAAGAATGAAAGAATGTGTCATAACAAAAAAAATCCAAATGCCTCATTACAAGAATGGTAGATCAGCTTTACCTAGTGAGAAGTCTATTCTTACAAATGTGGGCCTTAAAATGACTTGAGAAACTTACCTGCAGCATGAGTCTCTCCCATCTTTCAAAGGCACCAGATGGCAGCACTGATTGTATTATATATGGTGGTAGAGTTATATCACATTCACGATCTGGACACCTTTAATATAAAGCATACAATTGAAATCATTATTCCCCAATGTAAACTTCAAATGGCGATTGCCAGTTTTATTAATTTTTGGATCATAAGTATGTTTGAATGTGTTTGGGCTTACATTTACACTCTCTATTTAACCATTATGTGGGTAAGATTTTTCGTACAATCAGGGGCCATAATCCAGATTAAGGTCCGATATGTGCGAATATTGAAAGGAACCGAGATCTTTGGGATATAAACATATAATTTAACAGTTTCTTCTTACTTTAATTCTTCTACAGTTCCTTCTTTAACATGTATTTCACAATATTCAGTCATGCAGGCTCGACAATAATGGTGACCACATTTACCAACCCGAAAAAAATGGGTTCCTGGCAAACGATCGAAACAAACATCACAATCTTGATCGTTACTGCAAAAGTTAAATTCGATCTGTCGTTCATTGAATCTGAAACAAAGTAACAAAGAAATTAAATGAAATTTAATGTTTGATCAGTATGGCTGCGTGTGAAACAAACAGTGGTCGAAGTCCGTTTGGGAGTGCGACAATAGGCCTAAGCTGACTTACACTGAATATTTGGAACTAAATATTTTATTGTATAAAACTAATCAAACAAGCGGTTGCCATGCATGATACGTCCACATTGTGCAAGAGATGGACAGAGAACAAGCTAAAAAAAAAAAGCGATTTTTTGTTCAATCAGCCGCCATAATCCAGGAAGTTACGGTCCGATATGCAAGGAACCTACTTCTTCGGCATATAAACATATTTTAAGTTTCAGCAAAAGTATTACATACTTTTACACTAATTGCGTACAAGGGGCAGCCATTTTGTAGGGCAGTTTCGATCCAATATTTATGAATTTCCAACTAAACCGTGTTTAGGATGTAATGGCGATACATTTAAACTTTTTTAAAATCGGATAAAAATGTGGCTGTATAAAAAAAACAAATCGATCAATCCAATCAAGTACTGCAATCCGATTTTTTTTTTATTTTCTGGAATTTCTAATTACACGTAAAACCTATGAGATAAACATACTGATGACAAGACAGTGTCAACTTACTGTAAAATAGATATAATATTATGACCAAAATCATCTGATTCTGGTAATGCCCTTGGATCGCGGTTCTCATCATCATCAAATGGCATCATTAATATACTATCTTTTATACCCAGAAAACTGAAAGTAGAGAAACGGACTGATTAAAATAATAATATAATCTTTTATACCCAGAAAACTGAAAGTAGAGAAACTGAATGAATAATATAATAATATAATCTTTTATTATTAGTGTTGAAAATCGGATCGATTACCCATTATACACATTACCCATTTATGTAAAAATATAAAAAGCTACTGAACCTTAAAATATTATTCTCAAGCCAATCTATCCACGTAAACAAAATAATCATGTTGCTGTTTTCTTCCCACAGACTGTCCAACTTCCGACACAACGCAGATAGTTGAACAGAACTCAACCAATTAGAAGAGAGAGTAAATACTGGTGCATCATGGGATGGGTAAGATGGTGGTAGTGATATCTGAAGTGTAAGGGGAGATAAGTGGTCTATTTTTAATGATCCAATCCACTTCTGACCTAAAATGGATGAAAACAAACAGTAAAGTTAAAAATGATCAACAGCCAAAGATAATAATGACAATAGGCCTACTATAAAGCCATAGAACATATTGAATCTTGAATCAAGTAAAATTTATTTCCATGGAAACCTACAATTATTAAATCCAACAAATATCTAATTAAACATACATTATGCAAGAGCTAAATTTGTCTATTGCAGGTCTTTCTTTAGGCCTGAAATGTTATCTAAATTATTAATTAGAAATTAATTAACCTATCCAGACCATAATCAACTCTAGATGGCATTGCTGGGCTGCGATCTTTAGTGGATTGTGAGCCGATTTACTGCATAACTTTCCTTCATGATTTAACGATTAAATGGATAATCGAGACTGTGCTGTTTATTGTACTGACTTTAGTAATGATGATCAAGGCTAGGCGGAAATTTAATAGCTTTGTTCTCGGTTCATAGTGGATCAATTTGAATGAAATTTTCAGCAAATTGCCTTTACATTATCTAGTTTTTACCTCCCATTTTGTATCTTTAATAAAAGGCACACGTAATATAATAGGTACATATATGTATACAAAGTTGCAAAAAGATATCTTGGAGTTTATGGAAGATCTGCCAGAAACAGAAAGGGTGAAGGAAAGATGGATAAAGCCCATTTCAACATCAATCTTGTTCTCTCAGTTCAACACATGGTATAAAAAACAAGTCAGTATCTTCCTCTGTTTCATGCCTGATTATCCAAGTGGAGACAACTAGCAGCTCGGAATGAAACTTGATTTAACATCTCGTTAACGAAATGATTTGGCCGACTTTTCTGAACTATCTCGGGCATAATACTTCAGTCATTTTGAGATCAATATGGTTATTTCTGATTCAATCGCCAATGCAAGAAAGAAGAATTTCCTATCACTCTTTTTGATTTATCTATAGGGGCTAGGGTTTTTCTGTAAGAAACAAGGAATAAATGAATGAAATGTGGTTTAATATTCTACTTTTCTGCTCCAACCGGGCAAAAAATAATGAGCGATATTCTGCCTACACATATCATTGTTTTCGTTTTAAAAATTCAATGTGCTTTCTATTCTATTCTATTGATGAAAGAATGTCTTTACCCATGTTCCGGAAGCAACGACTGTGAGTTTTACAACATCTGGACGTTGCTAGATTACTTCACAATTCCCGAACTTATAGCTACGTTATCTACAGACACGTGAGCAGTAGCGTCCAAACAGAGGTTGTGATATAGCGACCTCCACGGAAACCGTGATATTGAACGAACCTTGAACTTTGCAACTCTATTATCACATTCAGACATTTTAGCTTAAAAGTGTGAGACTTGGTATTCGCAACGATCAAGGAATCTGATAGGCTCACAAGTTGGGCTTGTACCCAATCGAAATTAGTGCTGGAATATGCAGGATATTACGTGAAGGCCTTGATAAGATGTACGTAGTTAAAGCGAGATAAAGCATTCTATTGAAGATGGTCTTTAACATAGTGTTGAACAACCCTATGTTCTATTATATGCAGACTCAAAGTTTAAGTCCCAAAAATGTTTTTCTGTTTTTTGGCATCATGAAGTTAATGATATAAAATACCTGAATTTGACCGTGAGAAGTTGACACCACAAGCTGGAAGAGGAGGAGTTACTGCCCTTGCATTTTCTGGTTCCTCTGATTCACTGACATCTGCTGGAACTAAAATGTCCAGGGTAATTGGACTGTCTTGTTCTTGCATTGAAATCAGTGTCTACAAAATAAGTTAAAAAAAATCCATAGGCATCTGAAAAACCTAGCTCACCACTCTCAAAGATATAGAATAGAGCTGTAATGTATGTTGTTAACAAAATACTTTTACTTCGAGTTTGAGACAAATATTGTTTTTCTAAAGTTATATGTATACTGGAAAATTTTGGATTGACAGCAGCATTATCATCTAACGATATACTCATAATTTTTAATTCCCACGGCAAGGTGGTTTTTTTTACATGCACTACCTGTACACATTTGCACATACAGAACAACTACTTATATTTTCTGAGGTGTTCGTCCAGATTTGGGGGGGTTGGATGGCCGAATGTTTAGCACGTGCACGCTGTATCATAAGACCTGTCATTTAGTCAACTGGCATGGTTTAGAAGCCCCGGTTGTATGTGACAAGGAGTAGGGTCGCCTGTCCAACCTCGTGGGTTTTCTCAGGGTTCTCCGGTTTCTTCCCACTGCTAAAGACCCCTACGCATAAGCAAATTATTGAAAAAGAAATTAAACCATGTTAGTCCCAAAATGACCTAGTTTGTGTCGAGTGGACGTTAAACCTCATTTCTCTCTCCCTCTCTAGTCCAGATTTTCCGGAGTGATTCCCCCTTGTCGGTGATGCAAGGCAGATGACCTGGCAAGGGATAATGTATAGTCGTTCAGATGGGACGAAAAACTTAGGTCCTTTGTACACATTGGTGTGCACTGAAAAGATCCCTCGGCAGTTGGAATTTGATATAAGAGTAGGCCGCAGTGCCGCTGTCGATCAAAATTTCCCTCATAGCACACTATATGGCGTAAGCCCGTCTTCATTAGCCAAGTCGGTGCAGAATAGTAGGACGTTAAATCCCATTTCATTTCATTTCTGTAATCAACAACATAAAAAATTTATATCTACCTGTAAAAAGAATAAACCTTGACCTTCGTCATCAGGGGCAGATAATACAGTCAGTCTTTCTGTATCTCCGCCTTCATAGAATGATTGTAGTGCCGACACCTGTTGACAAAAAACATCATAAAGTGAGAAATTTGTTACACATTTTTTATATTTTGTTTCCGGTAAAAGTCAATAAGTCGGCTAAAGGCCACATCTCCCCTATGACCCCAACCATCAAATCTAGCGTTTTTCTGGATTTACTTGTTGGTTGGACAAAAAGTCACACCTTAAAATGTAAACAAAACCATCTGAATTCTAAAATTTCCAGATGGGCGCCACAGTGGCTCAGTGAGTAAGTCGTTGGCTCGCTAGCCTGGAGGTTTCGTGTTCGATCCAGGTGTTGGCCGAGAAAGTTCATCGGGATTTCCCGACTTGGGCCCCGTTTGTCAATGGTACATGATGGAGGACCTGGCAAGGGGCAAGCAAGATATAGTAATTCGGATGGGACAAAAAACTGAGATCCTGTGCACACATTGACGTGCACGTACAAGAATCCTTGACAGTTGGAATTTGAAATAAGAGTAGGCCCTAATGCCGATGTCCTGGCAAAATTTCCCTCATAGCACACTGTATGGCGTAAGCCCGTCTTTATTAGCCCAGTATAGGAGCAGAACAGTAGGACGTTAAACCCCATTTCATTTTGTTCCAGAAGGTATGTTTGATGGACAGAAGGGGGGTTGGGTGGCTGAATGGTTAGTGTGCGCGCGCTGTATCATAAAGTCTGTCATTGAGTCGACTGGCATGGTTTCGAATCCTCGGTTGTACGTGACAAGGAGTAGGGTCGCCTGTCCAACCTCGTGAGTTTTCTCTGGGTCCTCCGGTTTCCTCCCACTGTTAAAGACCCCTACGCACAAGCGAATTATTAAAATAAAATTAAATCATATGTTAGTCCCGAAATGACCTAGTTTGTGTCGAGTGGACGTTAAACCCCATTTCTCTCTCTCTCTCTCTCTCTTTTGATGGACAGACAGACACAAACGCATTTTGATGGTTTTCTAAGAAAGGCATTGGACAATAACTATATACAAATACCCAGTTCACCTCATCCTTCTGTTCTTGTAGATTGGTATCATTTCCTCCTTTGATGAAATTTTTCATAAATTTCTCTTCTTTTATTTCTGAGATTAACTCCATCTCTGATTCTGTTGTCATTTTATTTAGAAATGTTTTAATTTGACCCCTAATAGGGGCTGATCCTAATCTACCTGTAAAAATAGAATAATAATATAATTATCACTTTGTGCATCCTATCATGCCGTCTGCATGTCATTTCGTTGTGTACATATTATAATGAGGTAATTTTTTCCCAGACATTGGCGCTACAGCCTAATCTTATTTTGAATTCCAACTGCTAACGCTTCATCACAACAACTAGACGCTGTACCTGTATCCATGCTGGAAAATGCTAGTATTGGGTATTGCGACTGTAGTCACGATACAATATATACGTATAGCGATTCATAACCAGGTCAATATTTACCAAGAAAACAACAGGCTAAATGAATTTGATATGTTATTGGGGTCACAAATTGTAATTATTGTCCAAGGCTTGTGGCTTGACAGATCAAAATAAGGAACAAAACAATTTAAGAATGTTTGTGTACCTATGGATAATGTTTGACATGGATAATTAAGTGTGACATGTTACTTACTGAAGCAACAAAAAAGAATCATAAACCAGCGGCTGCCAGGCCAGGATACGCCCACATTTTCGAGAGATGGATAGAGAACAAGCTAAAAAGAAAGTGATTTTTCCTACAATCAAGGGCCATAATTCATGAAGTTACAATTCGATATGCGCAAATATCGAAAGGAACCTCTTTGGGTTATAAACATGCATTTCAAGTTTCATCAAAATCGGATTAAAATTGTGACCTCTACAGGGTCCACAACCTTGATATACCATATTTTTACACCTTTCACGTACAAGTGGTGGCCATTTTGTCCGACAGTTTTGGTTTGATTTTCAGGAAATTTGAACTCAACCTTTATTATGGTGTTACGGGGATATATTCAACAATTTTTAAAATCAGATAATAACGGTGATCTTCAGAGAGACCACAAGCTAAAAAAGGCGATTTTTCGTATAATCAGGGGCCATAATTCAGGAAGTTAGGATCGAATATGCCATAATATTGAAAGGAAGCAAGATCTTTAGGTTATAAACATGCATTTCAAGTTTCATCAAAATCGAATTAAAATTGCAACCTCTACAGGGTCCACAACCTTGATAAACCATATTTTTACACTATTCGCGTACAAGTGGCAGCCGTTTTGTCCGGCAATTTTGGTCTGATTTTCACGAAATTTGAACTCAACCTTCCTTAGGGTGTAACGGTGATATAATAATACGTTTTTTTAAATCAGATAAAAATTATGACCTCTATAGGGTCCACAAGCTAAAAACCTGATTTTCCGTACAATCAAGGGCCATAGTTCAGGAATTTACGGCCCGATATTCGCGAATATCAAAAGGAACTGAGATCTTTGGGATATAAACTTACATTTTAAGTTTTAACAAAATCGGATAAAAATTGTGACCTCTATAGTGTCCACAAGCTCAAAACATGATTTCCGTACAAACAGGGGCCATAATCCATGAAGTTTCAATCCTATACATGCCAATATCGAAAGCAGCTGAGATCTTTTGGGGATAAACCTATATTTCAAGTTTCGTCAAAATCGGACAAGAATTGTGACCTGTAGAGAGTCCACAAACAAATTGTGGAATGAAAATGTCGGCGTATAAAAACAATTCAGCATCTCGCGATTCAATACACAAATCAGGAGAAGGTGAATTGCGATACATCAATTCAACGATATATCGTGCCAGCACTAGAAAATGCCTGAGGAACATTCTTGACCAACACCGGGATCGAAGCCGGGACTGAGTCACTGCAGCTCTTGTGTCTCGAAAACAGTAAGCTGAATAGAGAGTTGATTATGGTCTGGATAGGTTAATTAGTGTCTAATTAATAATTTAGATAAATTTCAGGCCTAAAGAAAGACCTGCAATAGACAGATTTAGCTCTTGCATAATGCATGTTTAATTACAAAAATTTGACAAACTATAGGACAGACACAGAACAGTGACATGTTATTTTTTAAAAGCACGGTACAATACATGTATACTGAAATTTTGAAAAACAAATGAAATGTAGTGGGGTTTAACGTCTTACTGTAATTGCTCCAACTGGGCTAACAAAGATGGGCATACACCAGTGTGCTATACGAAGGGTAGCGGCTCTACAGTCTACTCTTATATCAAATTCCAACTGGCAAGGCTTCTTTTACGAGCACACTATTGTGTACACGGGACCTTGATCAGTTTTCTGTCCCATCTGAATAACTATTAATTGTCCTTTGCCATGGCAACCCTAGCTAGCTCTCCTGCACCACTGACAACAAGGGAGAACAGAAAATCCCAATAGTCTGCAAACAAATGAATCAAACACAGGACTTCCAAGCCAACTTTTTACTCACTGAGCCACCGTACGTTACTCTCATTTGGAAAAAGAATAAGCTTATATACACTATACAGGCCTACTCAGGCTACTGAGAGACACTGTGAGTGACTGTATACAGGCCTATTGCTGTTGCATTAAGCAAATTAAGTATCAACGTCAATTCAATCAATGCTATATTTTCATGCCCAACAATGATAAAGTAAAATAAATACATTACCTTGCTGCTGTCTAGTAGTATTTGCGCATATCTTTTATCAAGAGCTGTAATAATTTCATCACTAAAATTGTTGTGGGTGGATTGCACAACGATGCTGTCAACCAAGGAGGGAATTCCATAACCCCGGCTACCGGATGTTTATTAAATAGAAAGGTCGAGCCAATATCCAATCAATTTCAACGTGACGTTTGTGTTACTATTTATAGTATGGATAACTCAAGGGATGCTCTGGATGTAGACCACAATGTTTGTCCGATGACATCTCTGTTCAGACGACGGCTGGCAGATATGGCACAGTTCTGCATGTCCCAGGGCCCGTGACATGAGAGGGGAGGAAGTGGGACAGTTGGAACACTTATCTAAGGGCCCGGAAGTATGCCAAGTAATTTTTGTTTTTTGTTTTTATAAAAAAATTGTTGTTATAAATTAATAAAAAAAAATACACTGTTAGTTACTTGATCCTAAATAGAACAAATGTAGGTATCTATAGTAGCGTGGGTAGGATTAGAATCTTTTGTCGGGGTTTCCCATTTTATTCTAAATTATAATACATAATTTCGGGGCCTGTATTAAAGATCCATATATCAAACACTTTTTAGAACGCATATATGGGCACTAAATGTGCTGCGATGGATGATCTAGCCAGACATTTATGCAAAAAACGTTCGTATGGGCCCCATGCATAGGCTACATGCAAAATATTAGGCCCACGGTTCGTATATACGGGAAGGTTATAGTTTGTCAGGTTTGCCCAGAAATATGATGTGGGCACCTTATGGGTGTTATATTATATATATGGTATTTCCACCGACCAGAAAATGAAATGTGCTTAAAATATTAAATTATTACAATATCAGGCTGCACATGATGGGCCAGGTTGGGCCCCGTATGAAAGTTCGGGATCCTATATTGCTGCAACCCTAACCTCTTTTATCTATGCCATATATTAAGGTACATCACTAACCCAGGACCTTGGAGAGAGAGAGAGAGAGAGGGAGAGAGAGAGAGAGACGGTGTTTAACGTCCACACAAACTAGGTCATTTCGGGACTTATATTGGTTTAATTTTATTTCAATAATTCGATTGCTCGTAGGGGTCTTTAGCAGTGGGAGGAAACCGGAGAACCCGGAGAAAACCCACGAGGTTGGACAGGCGTACTTCTCCTTGTCACGTACAACCGGGGATTCGAAACCACGCCCGTTGACTAAATGACAGGCCGTATCTATAGTGATGTTATATTTATATGCCAAATAGTGATGCTATTTTATATGCCACATAGTGATGTTATTTTTATATGCTACTTGTGATGCTATTTTTATATGCCACATAGTGATGTTATATTTATATACCACATAGTGATGTTATATTTTTATACCACATAGTAATGTTATTTTTATATGCCACATAGTGATGTTATATTTATATTCCACATAGTGATGTTATATTTATATTCCACATAGTGATGCTACTTCTATATACCGAAATGACCTAGTTTGTGTCGAGTGGACGTTAAACCCCATTTCTCTCTCTCTCTATTTGGCTTTAAACTACAAACATATGTGACATCATCATTTCGTACAGTTACTAAGGCCCATGTCATGCTGTGGATTTCTTACAGGAACTGTATAAAATATATATTACAGAATACATATTGTAGGCCTTCTAGTAGGCTTATTCGTATAGAAAAACGTATCTGTGTGCACAATTATCATAAAGTCTGTCATTGAGTCAACTGGCGTGGTTTCGAATCCCCGGTTGTACGTGACAAGGAGTAGGGTCGCCTGTCCAACCTCGTGGGTTTTCTCCGGGTCCTCCGGTTTCCTCCCACTGCTAAAGACCCCTACGCGCAAGCGAATTATTGAAATAAAATTAAACCATATGTTAGTCCCGAAATGACCTAGTTTGTGTCGAGTGGACGTTAAACCCCATCTCTCTCTCTCTCTCTCTCTCTCACATCTTATATTGTCCATTTCACAGATTGGTAGCCGATATGCATGTTTATTTTCAAGCCATTTCATCATGTAAGTGGATGTGCCCATTGCGTAACGTCTCTTTACAACGACAGGGGAATTCCATTATGTGACCGGATGTTTATAGTTCAATCTGTGTCGTTGTGACGTTGTAATTACTAATCAATGACGTTAGTGTTACTAATTATAAAAGCCGGAAAATACGATGTATCATTCGGGAATAATTGGTAATGTGGTGGACCGAATAAACTATTCTGTCATAACGATTTCCCAAAGGCTCCTGATTTCTGTATCTTTTATGGGTTAGTGTTAAATGATAAGACCAGCTCTATTTTTCGTCATAGGTCAAGAGATGTAAACAGGGCTAGCGCTAATCCCAACCCTACCCCTAACCCTGGACCTAGCCCCAATGCTTACTCTAGCCTACAATCTCGCCAACATAATTGTGTGCAGCGACCTTGATACAAATTGAGCTTCCCTTAACAAATAGATTTAGCTACGTACGTACTTTCCATCCTACGCGTTTTCGCCAGCGGAAAATCGCAGCGTTTCCGAGCGGGATTTTTTTTTGTAGAACCACATGTACAGAAAAATCTCTGAAAAGTTTTGGGAATCCCATTTAAATGACGTCATAAGTGGGGATTTCTCTTTACAGCATGGAGCCCGACATTGTTAACGTTCAGTTTCCGCCTTTTTATAAAACACCATGTCCAAAAATTTTCCAAATAGCGGATTTAGTGGGGGAGAACCCGCGTGTGTACGACCGAACGTAAAAAACGTCAGCGAAAAGTCACTCACCGACCTCCCTTTTTTCCGCACCCTCGGAAACGCCTACACACCGACCATTACATTTACATTAAACACCGACGTTACAAACCCGTGGACACTGCGCTGCACAATACAAAACCTGCTACGATACACGTTCAATTCACTTAATAGGATAGGATTCAGTGGGAGCAATTCCCCAAATTCCCCAATTCGCAAAACCTGAAAAGGTTAGCCCGAACATTCCCTTTTTCATAACAATATTTAATCGATTAATATTTACATATTATAAAGATGCAATATTTAATTATTGGATCTGAAATCAAGCCAGAGCTTATATAAATCCATTTTTTGTAATACATTATTTACAGACATATAAATACGTTGTTTATAATTATAATCACGAATTTCATCACTCAAACACGATTTTGGCAGGAAAGCGGGGGTGATATTGGTTTGATAATCTGGTGGTCCCGTGCTCGATTCCTGCGATGGTTGAAAAAGTTCATCGGGTTTTTCCGGCGTGGTTCCCCCTCGTCAGTGGTGTAGGAAGGAGAGTCTGGTATGTGACAACGTATAGTCCTTCGGACGAAAACCGAGGAATGTATCCGCAAAAAGAGGGGATTGTTACACAATTGAGGAAATATCAATTTACACCTTCCTTACATGAGCAATCTTATCAGATTAACAGAAGACGATTAACAGCTGGCACTGACTTGACACGGCGAACAGCTGTGCGAATGTCATTAACTGAAGTCATTAAAACAGCTGGCACTGACTTGACACGGCGAACAGCTGTGCGAATGTCATTAACTGAGTTACGCAAGGTCTTGGAATGATAAAGCAACCTGTACATGAAGTTTAATCTGTTTATTACATAATGAAAAGCTGTAATCTCCGGCCATAATTGAATCAGAAATATTATACCTGGCCATCGCGGATTGGTCAACAACTATCTGTCCGTTCGAGCATCCACCCACCCCAGACTGATACTGACCAATCAGGTCACGGTACATGAGTGTGGTTTCTAAATTCAAGGCTGGACCTCGATCCGGCCCAGTAATATATAAATTCAAACTAAATGTTTTATGGACAATCCGGCCCAGAGAGAGGTCCGGACAGGACACGAGAGCGGAGGCCATGGGCGCCTCGGCTCGGCACGAGACGGAACGAGGAAAAGCCAGCCCAGAGAGCCGAGCTGGAAACAAGACTGGTACTAGATGAAACACCTGTAACTTAAGTATTGTAGTACGAGCATTGTAAATATGTTTATAGCAGAATAAAAAGTATTGTATGAACCTGAAACTAGTCTTGTCATCCTCGCCTGATTAAAGAACTAATTTTGTCACAGGAGGGAGAGAGAGAGAGAGAGAGAGGGAGAGAGAGAGAGAGAGAGAGAGATGGGACCCTCTAAATTTTGTCAGAACCCTCTAAATTTTCTTGGGACCCTCTAAATTGTGTTGATTCCTCGAGTGCCTACATCCATATACCGGAGAGAGAGAGAGTATTTAACTTAACGTCCCCTCGACACAAACTAGGTCATTTCGGGACTAACACATGGTTTAATCTTATTTCAATAATTCGCTTGCGCGTAGGGGTCTTTAGCAGTGGGAGAAAACCGTTGAAAAAACCCACGAGGTTGGACAGGCGACCCTACTCCTTGTCACGTACAACCGGGGAATCGAAACCCCTGCCATTTGACTCAATGACAGACCGTATGATACAGCGCGCACGCGCTAACCATTCGGCCACCCCCTCCCCATTCGCACAAAGAGTATACCGTATAGCGCCTCTGTCCGGGCAAATATTCCCCAGCGTATCGCATGGCGTATATCTGTCTTTATTAGTCTCGTCGGTGCTGAACTGTGGGACGTTAAACCCCATTTCATTTCAGGCCTCTTAACAGTGGTTCACGAGGTGCACTAAAAATGCCTTGGTCATTGGAATTCGATGAAAGTAGGCGGAAACGGATTTCCAACTGAATAGCGTTCACCCGTCGTCATAAGTCCGGTTGGCGCGGAAAACCCCATTTCATTTATCAGACCCGGTACTGTGGTTTCATGTTTAAACAAATTGGAATAACCATCTATTAATATAATTACAACTTTTCCAAAACTGAAACAACATTTAAATTTGTCAGACGGTTCTGTGGTTTCATGTTTAAACAAATTGCAATAACCATCTAGTCATATAATTACAACTTTCCCAAAACTGACACGACATTTAAATTTGTCAAATGGATATATCTCATTATTTGTCATATACACCTCCTCGAAAAGCCTTTTCCTGCAGAGTTCATGTATAATTATTGAGATATTTAGTTCTTATATCAAGGTCCCTTACTCAACATTTAATTAGTAAGATCCGCTACATTAAGGTCGGTTTCCTGAAATCATAGATTTAGAAACTAAGAGGATTAAAAGTTACTTAAAGGCTCAATACCACTCTTGTTGTAACTGAATAATATGTCCCAATCTTTATTCTCGTCAACAAATTGTACTATTTTACAATATTCCAATTAATTGATGATACAAACTTCATCTTAACACACCTAATTTAAAAAATTGGAAAAATTCAACTTAATGATTGAAAAGCCTAACGTAAACCTTTTCAAATGTGACTTGGATTTAAAAATATTTTCGTACCCTCTCGACAAGTAAAATAGGATGTAATGGATAATTTACACAACAGGTAGGACACTTAAACATCTAGTACTTAGAATACGGCTATTTTTTATTTTCTGGAACTGTCAAGCCAGCAAGAGTGTTATTGTCCCTTTAACACTGATGATCAGGGTTAGTGCCGTTGGGGTATATAATGTCAGGGTCTAAATGAGTGGGACGCAATGACGAGATTGGTGTCATGGTTTGGGTTTTTTTGCGTCCCCTTCAGTTTTTGCGCCCCCCCCCCCTCGCAAATGGCAAAATATTACGCGGTTTTCGCCTTATGAACGGCGATACCACGACATTACGGCATGATGTTGGGTTAAAATGTCGTGATGTCAGCTTGTCGCCTTATGAAGGGCGATACCACGACATCACGACATGATACCAATCATCCACCATACTTTATATACCAGCACCCGTAATAAATGTGAATTGTTCTTAACAAGTAGTTTCGAATCTCCGGTTGTACGAGACAAGCAGTAGGGTCGCCTGTCCAACCTCGTAGGTTTTCTCCGGGTCCTCGGGTTTCCCGCCACTGCTAAAGACCCCTACGCGCAAGCGAATTATTGAAATAAAATTAAACCATATGTTACCCCCGAAATGAACTAGTTTGTGTCGAGTGGACGTTAAACCCCATCTCTCTCTCTCTCTCTCTCTCTCTCTTAACAAGTAATATTTCCCGTTAATTTTTAGACGCTCCAGTGACAAAACCACCCCCTGACGACAACGTATCGTTATCTATTGCTGTGGGATAAGAGTATCCTAGTGTGCGTTATAGGATGACACCCCTATACTATATAATATTCCTAATGCACAACGGATTATGAAGGTATCCTCGTTGCAAGAGAGAGAGAGAAATGGGGTTTAACGATGCCATCCTTATCAGTGATTGTAGCGGCCTAGCGAATATTCACTGCTGATTAGTGTGGAACAAGACAAGTAGCGGCTAGCAACCAGTTCTTGGTCCAACAATTAATAACTAGACATTTATTAACATGACAAAACCATAATCAACCCTTGATGTCACCGAATGACTCCGATTTTAAGTAGATTATAACAGTTCGGCCATTTAATGATTTAATTTAAAAATGGAGAAGCGAGGCTTAGACTCTATTGACCAGTACTGTCCTTACAATCAATGCAAACATCTTGTCAAATCAAAAATGCAATCATTAATAACTTCGCTCAAAATAAAGTAATTTGAATGAAATTTTCAATATATTCATTTTGCATTATCTATTTTGAAATAGTATAGAATGGACAGATCTTTATCTAAATCTTACATAATGCCCCTTTGATAGTTATACTGAAATTAAAACAACTTTCATTGTACTGAAATTACTTTTTATTATTTATACTTATAATAATAATAATAATACTGAAATTACATTACTATTCATTGTACTGAAATTACATCGCTATTCATTGTACTGAAATTACATCGCTATTCATTGTACTGAAATTACATCGCTATTCATTGTACTGAAATTACATCGCTATTCGTTGTACTGAAATTACATCGCTATTCGTTGTACTGAAATTACATCGCTATTCATTGTACTGAAATTACATGGCTATTCATTGTACTGAAATTATATCGTTATTTAATGTCCTGAAAATACATCGATATTTGTTGTAATGAAATTATATCGTTATTCATTGTACACCACTATTCATAGCAACGTAGCTAAACACATTGTATTGAGATGTACTGATGTGTCTGTGTTTAGCTACTATTAGACGCCCTTGGTTTCGCCTGGCAAACTCAATGCATGTAATAAGTTAATAATATAGTAATTAAACATACCCAGCCCAATGTAGTGACACAACTTTCGTTTATCTGCGGACAATGTTAGTAAAGTTAATTAAGCTGTGTTGGGAACAAACTATGACAGGCCATTCGCAATTCGGGTGCATTATGGCTGTTGTACGCGACATAGATTTAGCTCCGCCTTCATGCCGTTATGAAATGAAATGGGGTTTAACGTCCTACTGTTCTGCTCCGACAGAGCTAATGAGGACGGGCATACACCATACATTGTGCTATAACGGAAATTTTGCCCGGGAAGCGGCACTATCGCCTACTCTTATATCGAATTCCAACTGCCAAGGGATCTTTTACAATTATCCTTGTCAAGCCCTCCGTCCTGCATCACTGACAAGAGGAAACCGCGCCGGACAATCCCGATGAACTTTCTCCGCCAAAGCAGGGATCGAACACGTGACCTCCAGGGTAGCGAGCCATCGTCTTACCCACTAAGCCAATGACTTCAACCCTATTCAGTTTTAAAGTGTCGTGCAAGGCCAGTTTTTAACGTTTCGATTTAAAAGAGATGATTCGTACCCACGCCAGGTAGGATAATATTCTTAATTGTAGTTGGATGTGACAGAAATGTAATAAATAACAAATAACAATTGGTAGTTTTGCTATTCATTGTACTGAAATTATGCCACTATTATAGTACTGAAATTATAACAACTATGCATTGTACTGAAATTATGCCACTATTATAAGTACTTAAATTATAACAACTATGCATTGTACTGAAATTATGCCACTATTATAGTACTGAAATTATAACAACTATGCATTGTACTGAAATTATGACATTATTCATGGTACTAAAATTTCACCACTATTATAGTACTGAAATTATAACAACTATGCATTGTAATGAAATTATGCCATATTCATTGTACGGAAATTATGACATTATTCATGGTACTGAAATTTCGCCACTATTCATTGTAATGAAATTATGCCACTATTCATTGTTATAAAATTATGCCACTATTCATGGTACTGAAATTACGCCACTATTCATTGTAATGAAATTATGCCACTATACATGGTACAGAAATTACGTCACTATTCATTGTACTAAAATTATGACACTATTCATGGTACTGAAATTACGCCACTATTCATTGTAATGAAATTATGCCACTATACATGGTACACAAATTACGTCACTATTCATTGTACTAAAATTATGACACTATTCATGATACTGAAATTATGCCACTATTCATGATACTGAAAGTATGACATTATTCATGGTAATGAAATTATGCCACTATTCATGGTACTGAAATGGCGTCTCTAATCGTCAAACATACACAAGGTCTCTTGAAAGTACAACAGAGACAGGATATCCCTTTCACTCAACACAATCTAGGTCATTTGTATTTCCATAATTGGCTTGATAGAAAACTCATAAGAAAGGCTTTGTCTCTTAGAGACAGAAACGACCACGAATGACTTTGTCTCAAGCCACAGAAACGGCTACGACTGACTTTTTCTTTAGGGTAAGAACCGACTAGGAATGACTTGGTCGCCAGCCCTTTTTAATCTGTTCTAATTTGAAAAGATCTTTTGATTTAAGATTTAAAGGATCTGATTGGAGCTCCTGCTTCGATAGCATGGAGAATAATTTACCATCAAATAATTCTCTTTGGCAAATTTTCGACAAGTTCGTCATACCGCAAGTTCTAAATACATCACTTAATTCCTCGACCGTATATTCTGAAAATTGTTTTTTGGTCGTGGTGTCCATTATTGGTTTAGATATGCCCTTTTTATTTGTCAGATCCATTTTAGACAGGTCTGGATAATCGTAAAACGATTCGTTTTCAACACGGCCTAGATCGAAGCCGTCATCGTTGGCGTAATCGTCGTCGCCGTCGCTGACTTCATAAAAATTTTCCGGGTTGTCAATAGTAACCGCTTGTTTGTCTGAGTGTAGTCTGGATTTGATCTTTTTTAAGCCTTTCTTTAGAATTTTTAGTGCCTGGAACGAAATAATGAATAACATGTTAGTCTCAGACATCCAGCCTATAGTCATCTACGTACATAGACTCTATCATCCAGAAAAATGGGGTTTAACGTCCACTCGACACAAACTAGGTAATTTCGGGACATGGTTCAATTTTATTTCAATAATTCGCTTGCACGTAGGGGTCTTTAGCAGTGGGAAAAAACCGAAGGACCCGGAGAAAACCCATGAGGTTGGACAGGCGACCCTACGCCTTGTCATGTACCAACGTCGAATCGAAACCACGTCCGTTGACTCAATGACAGATCTTATGATACATCGCGCACGTGCTAACCATTCGGCCATCCAACCCCCAGCATGTTTAGTGCCTGGAAAAAACTAATTAATTCCATGACAGTGTTGTTAAAATGACGGCTAGGCTTTAAATAGATTAGATTAAAGGACAAAATCAGAACGTTCTCAAAAGTCTAAAATATATATGTTAAAGTATTTTATTGTAATGGCTTTTGTTATTCTGTCAATAAGCGAATTAAGAGTGACTTATTTCTCCTAGATGGTTGTTTACGATCCGTTTTGCAGGACTGGCGAACGAAGACCAATTGACTGGTCCAACAGCCTCAAAACGGATATTAAAAGAGGCAGAGAGAGGGAGAGAAATTGGGTTTAACGTCCACTCGACACAAATTAGGTCATTTTGTGACTAACATATGGTTCAAATTTAGTTCATTAATTCGCTTGCGCATAGGGTCTTTAGCAGTGGGAGGAAACTGGAAAACCTTTAGAAAACCCACGGAGTTGGACAGGCGACCTTACTCCTTGCCACGTGCAATGGCGGAATCAAAACCAAGTTACTTGACTTATTGACAGACCTTATGATACAACCAACACCCCCGGATATTTAAAGAGATGACAGAGGTTAGTAAGCGATAGAATGACGACGACTGTTCGAGATAATACATACCCCTTTATCCTTTTCTTCTTCCATTTTAAAATATCCTACAACAGATGAATTAATCGAAAAAAATTATATGAATAATCGAATAACCGGGAACAATTAGCAATCGATTAATTGAATAACGAATAACGAATGTCTTAACGATAACAATGACTAACAATGATTAGTAGGATCTAAAGTGTTGCCTTGTTGGTTTAAGCGTTATGTTATTCAAGAGAAATTAAATGAAATGGGGTTTAACGTCCTACTATTTTGCTCGGACCGGGTTAAAGAAGACGGGCATACGCCTTACAGTGTGCTATGAGGGAAATTTTGCCCGGGCAGCGGCACTATCGCCTACTCTTATATCGAATTCCAACTGCCAAGGGATCTTTTACGTGCATGCCAATGTATACACGGGATCTCGATTTTTCGTCTCATCCGAAGGACTAGACAGCTGTCCTTGCCAGGCCCTCCGTCCTGCATCACTGACGCACGCCGGAAAATCTGGATGAACTTTCTCGGCCAATGCAGGGACCGAACACCCATTCCTTGAAGCAAAATTCGACACAATAACAATGGAAAATGCGCTCGCGTAATCTCAAAATTCGTATTTCCAATATAAAGTACAAAAGACTGCCAGCGATCATCATCATTTACATGTAATGTAAGATGTTCACTTTCTACTTATATGTACTGGACAATGTAGCTACGGTGTGCAGGAGTTTCCGAGCATGGAGTAATTTCACTCAATACTTGACAATGCGAACTTTTGGTTTGATTGAATGTGTACGAGAAAACAGCCTACTCAGCAAAAAAAAAAAAAAAAAAAAATCCCTATCTGGACTAAGCTACGATGCGCAAGTGTTACCTCATGAGCACGGAGTATTTTCACTCAATACTTGACAATACAAACTTTTGGTTTGATTGAACGTATAAGAGACTCCGGCAAACCGACCCATTTTCCCAAGGAAAAAAAACCTCGGCCCACTTGGCGAGAAATTAAGCCCATTTGCCTGTCTGGAGTAAGCTCGGGGATGCCCCCCTCCCCACCACCCCAAATACCCCTCTGTTGTGTGCCACAAACACGTGTGATTTTCGGATATGGAACCTCTAGCCTGCCAGGAACAAACCACTTTGCATGAGCATTTGCTTGGCTTCTGAAACCCCGGTGTAGACTATGACGCGTACGTGTCGTAATGATGGACAAATCTCAGAAAATCAGATGTCAAATCCATGTATTGTAAGTACACAAAATGAATTTATAATCTGATTATAAGGTTAATTAGACTAGGTAAGTCGATATTTCATGCCCCACCTTCGAAATACGTCGATGGCATGCTGCTTTTACAACGAAAAAAAAAGAGCACTTGTATCGCGTCATTTAAAAAAAAAAAAAAATTCTCACCCTCTGAACATGGTGTACTCCAGTCGATATCGGACAAACTAGGGTTTGATATAACTGGTTCACTTTGCGGAATTTTGGTTAAACTGGATGGCAGCGTAGAGGCTTTGCTTACACCGGATTTCGGTTTGGTTGATTGCACTGTATTTGGTGATTTCCGCGGTACTAGCGCTGAAATTTTAAACAAAACAAAAATATCTCAATGTTAATAGAATTAGATATCGACGACTTTAATTGACACATTATGCGTCGACGGGGGCGGGGGGGGGGGGGGTGTCGAGTGGTTACCGCGTGTGCGTTTGCATTAGATAATAAGGCCTGCCATTGAGTCAACTGGGGTGGTTTCGATTCCTCGGTTGTACATGACAAGGAGTTGGGTCGCCTGCCCAACCTCATGTGGTTTCTCCGGGTTCTCTGGTTTCCTCCCACAGTTAAAAACCCCAAAGCGCAAGCGAATAATTGAAAAAATTGAACCATATGTGAGTCTCGAAATGACCCAATTTGTATCGCGTAGACGTTAAACACCATCACTCACTCTTTGCTCCCCCCCCCCCCATTCGTTGATTTTTCCAAATTTTTTCTAAATAAATAAATATAGCGCAAGGCTTGTCAATTTCTTGCACTAAACCCTAAACACGGGCATACTGCATACAGGGATTTGTCTATTTAACAAGGTTACCTACAGATTTCGTCACGAGATGTAAACACGTAAAAGATTTCCTGGCAGTTGGAATTCGATATAAGAGTACACCGTAGCACCGCTGTCCGAGGAAAAATTCCCTCATAACATATTGTATGACGTGTCTGTATGGGGCAGTGCAGTCAGGCTTTAAACCCCATATCATTTCATTTAAAGGAGCTAAATCGCTAATATTCGGGACCTAGAAATTGACACAAATGGGTCGCAATGCATATAATAATGTAATCTGAATGTATATAAACTGATTTATATTCAATCGTTTCTATTTTTACCCTAATTTTAAATCAGTTATGTTTGGCGAAATACGCCAGAAGTCTCAATCGAATGGCAATCTCTAGCGTCTGGTTATTCCAGTCTACACCGATAGTATTTATTGCGCATGCTCTCCAGATAAGATTATGAGGTCACCGTTTGACATGACTTGTGGAATATGCCTAGCCTCTTTCTGCGAGTCCATTATGATACACGACTCGTGTACCAATGGTAAAATGTTTATTTTTTCTTAAATATTGGATATCAAAAGCCCATCTTTTCCCCGTAAGATCACAACATCAATGTTGATTTAAATTGACAAACAATTCGTGTTTTAAATGTCGAAGACTCTGGATGATATTGAGTTAGAGACTTAGCTACTTTAAGTTTTATCGTACGGTAACGGATCTATCAGATAAAGGGTTTTAGACTTACGCACTTGCCAAACTATTTCTAATAAATTTCACAAACTTTCAATAGATATTTTCAATTCCTATATATGTTATATCTTATCTGTTTTCTTTGTCCTTTTTAAATGGTTATTGAGAAGACGACTTATAATAATTTCAATGATATTTTACTCTAGATAAGTAGCCTATTCATATAACCTCTTTCTACCATTACACAGAAGAATGTTTAATATGTCATCGTAACATACTTATTGAAGTACATACACGCCCAAAATCTTAAAATAAAAAGTTATGTAGCCCTTTTTTTCTGATTTTAAAAGTCAGTTTTTAATCTTGTACATTCGGTATTGAAAAATGAAATGAATAATTGCACGAGAGAGAGAGAGAGAGAGAGAGAGAGAGAGAGAGAGTGGATCCGGAGAGAACCCACGAGGTTGGAGAATGGATGCATGAAAACTGACTGATAATCAACATTACTATAAAGAGACGATATAATAGAAGGGGGGGGGGCAATGCGCGCTATATCATAAGGTCTGTGATTGAGTCAACTGTTTTCGATTCCCCGGTGTACGTGACAAGGAGTAGGTCTCGCTATAATAGAGTGATTAATGACATATACTATATCTATAGCATATACTATTTGTCACATGACTTTTGGAACAATGAAATTTTTTTTTTTTTACACTTGACTGTCTTGTTATTCTTGGTTAGATCTATTTGATAAGACCAACTTCAAGTTTGGTCAAAGGTCACGTGATGTAAACAGGGCTAGCGTTAATCTCAACCCCAAACCTAAACCTGGACCTAACCATAACGCTTACACGTGCCCTAACCTGATTTATGACGAAAATTGAGTTGGCCTTAACAAATAGATCTAGCTCTATTCTTGGAGAGATGCTATTTGATATGATGCCACAATTCAAAATGTCGGCGATAACGTCATCTTTGACTCATGGTACACATATGAAATGAAATGAAATGAAATGGGGTTTAGTGTCCTACTGTTCTGCTCCAAAACTGGGCTAATGAAGACGGGCATACGCCATACAGTGTGCTATGAGGGAAATTTTTAACGGGCAGCGGCACCACGGCCTACTCTTATATCGAATTCCAACTGCCAATGGATCTTTTACATGCACGCCAATGTGTACACGGGATCTCGGTTTTTCGTCCCATCCGAATGACTAGACAGCTGTCCTTGTCAGGCCCTCCGTCCAGCATCACTGACAAGGGGAAACCACGCCGGATAATCTGGATGAACTTTCTCGGCCAATGCAGGGATCGAACACCCTGGTACATATAGAACGAAAGGAAATGCATTACTTCCTGTTCGGAGATTAGATCGTCAAAAATAACTGGTCATACAGTTTGACAAATAAAACTCTGGAAATTCCATGCAGAAGTAATATTTTGTAAAATGATCATACTTGTGTGACTTGTCAGAAAATGAATATGATTAACTAGACGGGATACCAGATAACAGAAACTTCCTTGTTCAAAATACTATATTGACATTATATTAATTAGGATTAGAGTTTTGGCAATAAATTTAATAAAATCCCCTTCTAACAAATACTGCCCTGAATAGAGGACATTGTGTATTAAAGGGGTTAAACCCCCAACTCTATTTGCCATACAATTGGAAATTTAAAAACACGAATTGAAATTCAATATTGGCTCATTTCAATCAATAGTGATGTTGTTAGCTTGCCGTGAAAATAAGGGATCTAGAGATCCAATATTTAAGACATTATAATTATTTTAAAATCAGTACACGAGTCGTGTATTCTATGGTTTCGGGTGCCATTTGTAATGAACAAAGAAAACATATCTTACAAGATAATGGCTGATTCACAAACGACAAAATGATAATAAATATCCCGTGTAGAATAGACTAAGCGCGTGTGAACGACTGGCGATAAATTTGGACTGCTCACGTATTTAACCGAACATAACTGAATGTTTAAACATTCATGTTACATTAATGTGTGCTTTTAGACCCACTTTCGTCTATTTTAAGGTTCCAAAGATTTGCGTCATAGGCCTATCCCCTTTAATATTATTCTATGATCCAGTTTCATAAATGAAACGACAGGCTTGTGTGATGAAATGAAATGGGGTTTAACGCCCAACTGTTCTGCTCCTACTGGGTTAATGAAGACGGGTATACGCCATACAGTGTGCTGCCAAGGGATCTTTTACGTGCACGTCAATGTATACACGGGTCCTCGGTTTTTCGTCCCATCCGAACGGCTAGACAGCTGCCCTTGTCAGACACTCCGTTCTGCACCAATGACAAGGAGAAACCACGCCGGAAAACCCCGATGAACTTTCTCGGCCAATACAGGGAGCGAACACGCGACCTCCAGGCTAGCGAGCCAGCGTGCTACCCTACCCAATTAGCCACTGTGGCTCTGACAGGCTTGTGTACTCGTAAATCGCACATCTGAAGCGTTGTAGTGGCAATTCACGAGGCACAGAAAATACAACTAGGTCACGACGGGGGTCTAGTGGTCCTATTAAATTTGAAAACATGGAACGCTGTAGATGCTATCCCCATCGGGGATGGCCGATGGGGATAGCGCGCGCGTTGTATCATACGGTCTGTCATTGAGTCAACTTGCCGGGTTTCGATTCCCCGGTTGTACGTGACAAGGAGTAGGGTCGCCTGTCCAACTCGTGGGTTTTCTTCGGGTCCTCCGGTTTCCTCCCACTGCTAAAGACGCAAGCGAATTATTGAAAAAAAATTGAACCATTTGTAAGTCCCGAAATGACCTAGTTTGCGTCGAGTGGACGTTAAATCCATCTATCTCTCTCTCTCTCTCTCTCTCTCTCTCTCTCTCTATTCCCGACTATTTCAGTGAGCCAGTGACATACTGCTCCATGTCAGTACTGTATAATATCAGGGTTTGTAATCGCTATATTATGGAAGCCTATAACTACCATTCATAATTTCTACTTTTCGCCTCTTCAGAACACGAAAGTCGAAAAGTCAAAAAGTAGAAGTTACGACAAAATGTGAGGCGACAAGACGGTATACAAGCAAAATTAACTCGAAAATAGGAAATTAAGAAATAACACACCGCGATAATAGCGGCCCCCCGTTTTTTCTTAATTTCTACTTTTCGACTTGCATTTTGGCTTGTATACCGTCTTGTCGACTTTCGACTTAGTCATATTTTTGTATTTATTGATGTCAGTAAGAAGGCGCCAACACGCTATACAAGCCAAAATGTAACTCGAAAAGTAGAAATTAGGAAATTAACACACTGCGCTATTAGCGACCTATGATCTGTCGTACTGTCGACTTTTCGACTTTTCTACTTCTCGCCTAGGAAGTTGTTGTAGTCTCTGCCTTCCAGGTCACATTTGAATACGCGCATACAGACATTTTTGTTAACGGGAATTGCGCGTATTCAAATGTGACCTGGAAGGCAGAGACTACAACAACTTAACTATTAACACGCTGCGCTATTAGCGACCTATGATCTGTCGTACTGTCGACTTTTCGACTTTTCTACTTTTCGCCTAGGAAGTTGTTGTAGTCTCTGCCTCCCAGGTCACATTTGAATACGCGCATACAGACATTTTTGTTAACGGGAATTGCGCGTATTCAAATGTCGACAGTACGACAGATCATAGGTCGCTAATAGCGCAGTGTGTTAATTTCCTAATTTCTACTTTTCGAGTTACATTTTGGCTTGTATAGCGTGTTGGCGCATTCTTACTGACATCAATAAATGCAAAAATATGACTAAGTCGAAAGTCGACAAGACGGTATACAAGCCAAAATGCAAGTCGAAAAGTAGAAATTAAGAAAAAACGGGGGGCCGCTATTATCGCGGTGTGTTATTTCTTAATTTCGAGTTGATTTTGGCTTGTATACCGTCTTGTCGCCTCACATTTTGTCGTAACTTCTACTTTTTGACTTTTCGACTTTCGTGTTCTGAAGAGGCGAAAAGTAGAAATTATAAATGGTAGTTATAGGGTTCCATACTATATGAATGAGACATAGTAATAAGATCGTAAATATCCACACCCTATATTATGACGTCATTGTTATTTATTTATAAGGCCTTTTAAAGGTTGATTCATTTTTTAAGGCTACGTTTGACTGCCTATGTTTTGCACAGTTAAATGTATTTTCTACTAATTCATACATGCAGATTCTCGAAATTATCGCCAGTTTTATGATATGCATACGAATCTTACGCTGCCTACATACAATTAACACCGCTGGAGGTCGGGCATGAACCTAGTGCACCGCTATTTTAATTCTTATGCATTGAATATTTCAGTCAAAAACACAAAGTTTATATAACTCATGTTGCGAGGTATTTATTCGGCTTCTATTTTCATATTTAATGACATTGAAAATGATTATTTAGTGTTGTAAATAAATAAAACGGGGTAGAATCGTACAACAAAATAAAACATTAAAATTTAAATATGGCGGTCATCCAGGGTAGAGATTGATTACTGCGTTTTAACAGGGTTGTAGACAGCCAAAGTACATTGGCAGACGTAGACTCCCGAATGGAAATGAAATGGTGCTTTAATGTTCTACTGTTCTGCTCCGAACTGGGCTAATGAAGACGGGAATACGCCATACAGTGTGCTATGAGGGAAATTTTGCCCGGGCAGCGGCACTATGGCCTACTCTTATATCGAATTCCAAATGCCAAGGGATCTTTTACGTGCACGCCAATGTATACATGGGCTTTTTCGTCCTATCCGAACGACTAGACACGACTGACAAGGGAAAACCACGTCGGAAAATCCCGATGAACTTTCTCGGCCAATGCAGGGATCGAACCCGCGACCTCCAGGCTAGCGAGCCAGCATCTTACCCACTTAGCCACCGTGGCTCCCCGATATTTTAGCAAAAAAATACAAACGTATCGTTACTTTCATTCACTGTCAGTGGATGATTTTAAAGTTGTCTTTTACCATAGAAAAACAGTTTGTTAAAGATACATTATGTAAGCATTAGATAACGAGCTGGCTATTCTTGCTATAATAGTTCAAAAATAGATAATGCAAAATGAATATATTGAAAATTTCATTCAAATTACTTTATTGTGAGCTAAGTTATCAATGTTTGTAGTTTTGACCAGATGTGTGCATTGATTGTTTATTATCGTAACCACCGTACTGGTTGTTCAAGACTTAGCCTCGCTTCCCCATTTTTAAATGGGGTTTAACGTCCACTCGACACAAACTAGGCCATTTCGGGACTAACATATGGTTCAATTTTATTGCAATAATTCGTTAGCGCGTGGGGGTCTTTAGCTTTGGGAGAACCCGGAGAAAACCCACGAGAATGGACAGGCGACCCTAACCTTTGTCACGTACAAGCGGGGAATCGGAACCAGACCTTATGATCAAACACGTGTGCGTTAAACCATACGTCCACCCACCCCACAGATAAAGTTGAATAAAGTTTAGTTTTAAAATCAGAGACAGTTCTTGGCTTCTAATTTGCTTTCAATTTGTTTTCTCGAAACATTAATTTTGTAGGAGCCTCTTTGAAAGCTTCTCAAAGTTCGGCCCCCATTGTGCAGTGAAAAATACGTGGCAATTTGTTCCTGGAATTTAGTCTATTGTCATTATATCTATCAAAGGATGCGAAGAATTTTATTAATTATGAAATGTCAAATCGGGTCTTTTGGGCCCGTGACCGCTCTAAGCCGAGGCACAACCCACCCATGGTTGCGTGGAATCTGGCCTTAGCAAAGTTGTAGTAACCATCTATTTATAGGGAAGTCACCGCGGCTCAGTGCCGAAATCATATAACGAGATACCCCCCCCCCCCAAAAAAAAAAAAAAAATACAAAACAAAAGGCTAAACTAGTATGATCGAGGTTAGGAAAATTACCTGGGGCACGACTTGTCCATATATTTCCTTCTCCAGGTGACGAACGTGTCATTGCAGCTACAGCAGCAACAGGTTTCGAATGACCTCGTGGTGGGAGTAATGGTGCTCGAGGTGTTTCTTCGCAATTATCCGAATCGTCATGTACTTCTGCAAAGCGTAACTGTGCCTTTTTAGTGAACTCCACGTAGAGGGCCCTGTCCATCACCTTGGGACCCGTCGGGGTCTGAGTAAAATTCTTAGCCACAAAAAACTCATAATCTGAAGAATCCAAGTACATGGGATATTGGACAGAAATTTCACTCAAATCAGGATTACTCAAAGGAAGAACGAAAACAGTCCTTTTAACAAATTTACCTTCGTTCATATTCGTGTCCAAACGTTTATAGTGTCCTACCAATATCCGTTCTGTGTGAATACTCTTCAACATCATTTTACCCTCATATGAATCCAGATTGCCGAAAGCTTCCACAATATCATGCGATACGACCTCCTTAGAAAGTGTTTCTGTAAACTGCACAATTTGTGGTAATGGAAACCTTTTAAAAACTTCTTGTAAAGTGTATTCCTCATCATCTCTCAAGACTTGAAAACTTCCCGAAACAGTTGACGGAATATAAATGATATCTTTTCCATGATGTAAACATTTTAAATATTCCATCAAACTTGAATCCCGTTTTTGTTTTTTTGGTTTACGCCAACCGATAGTTTCCAAGACATCTCCTTTGGCTAATATAACCATTTTGGAACTCTCCTCGTCGCGGTATTTTACTGTTTCCAAAACTTCTAAATATCTTGGAAAGTCTGTCAATGCATCTGCTATGCTTTTGTATGTATAGTAAGTCCCATGTTTTGGCATAACTCTCACCAAACCTTTGTATGTAACGGGTATACTCAACGAATCGTAGCAGTTAGCCAAAGTGTATCTCCCCATTAATCCACTTCCTGGTTTGTCCCAACCCGTCCATTTCACAAATTGACACGCAACCTTCCCTATATGTTCACAGGAGTCGATTTTCATCAGATCCCCGAGTGAAAAAGAACTGATGTCATCCCCACTGTCGAATCCCTCGCAGACACGCACCACACATGGAAGGCTGACCTTATCGGCTACTTCTTGTAACGATGTCGTTTCCTCGGACCAGTCTATGTCGTCTAGACTCGCGGCCATTATTGTTTAGTTGTGTTATGATATGCAACATGTAAAATACACTATATAAATATTTCGTCACGTGATTATTATTCATGATAGCATTTATATATTGTAACGTGGTGAAAACGTCGCGTGCAATTGTTACGGTACAATGTTCACCGGTTATAATTAGCTAACGGAATTTAAAATTTTATCCCCGTTAAAATGAAATGAAATGAAATGGGGTTTAACGTCCTAATGTTCTGCTCCTAACCTGGGCTAATGAAGACGGGAATACGCCATACAGTGTGCTATGAGGGAAATTTTGCCCGGGCAGCGGCGCTACTGCCTACTCTTATATCGAGATCCAACTGCCAAGGGATCTTTTACGTGCACGCCAATGTGTACACGGGAATTCCCCGTTAAAGGTCTTATTTTGACTAAATGATGTAACAACGATTAATTTCCGCTTCTTAATATTCGTCTCTCAGTAGATTTACTTACTGAATTTAATTTCAGTTTTCACCTAAACTAAACTTTTGTGTGAAATAATATTTTTTGATGTAGATGGAATTCACAAAGCAGAAGGGGCGATGGGGTGGGGTGGGGCAATAACGGGTGTGCGATATTGTAAGGTCGGTTTTGATTCCTGGGCCCTGTTTCTCAAAATTTTAACTAAAGATAAAATCCAGATTTTAGTAGATACTTCAAATTTGATTGGCTAAGCACTAAAATCAATCATATATTAACCAATCAAATCACTAAAATTTGGATTTTATCTTTGTTAAAATTTCGTGAAACAGGCCCCAGGACTGTTTATGTCTATCGCCCCCGAATAAGTAATAAACAACCACGATGTTTTTCCTTTTCTGTTTTATTATTCAAGTAACTTTCAATGTTCCTATTTTATTAAATTAGTTTATGTCAATATTCTAACCGCCACTTATTAAACTACATGAGGGGGGGGGGGGAGGATGGCTGAATGGTTAGCGTGTGCGCGCTGTATCATAAGGTCTGTCATTGAGTTAACTGGCGTGGTTTCGAATCCCCGGTTGTATGTGACAAGGAGTAGGGTCGCCTGTCCAACCTCGTGGGTTTTCTCCGGGTCCTCCCACTGCTAAAGACCCCTACGCGCAAGCGAATTATTGAAATAAAATTAAACCATATGTTAGTCCCGAAATGACCTAGTTTGTGTCGAATGGACGTTAAACCCCATCTCTCTCTCTCTCTCTCTCTTAAACTACAGGAGCCACGGTGGCTAAGTGAGTAACACGCGGGTTCGATCCCGGTGTTGGCCGAGAAAGTTCATATGATTTTCCGGCATGGTACACCCTTGTTAGTGGTGCAGGACGGAGGGCCCGGAATAGACAGCTGTCTAGTCGTTCGGATGGGACTAAAACCCAAGATCCCGTGTACACATTGGCGTGCACGTAAAAAATACTGGCAGTTGGAATTCAATATAAGAGTAGGCCGTAGCACCGCTGTCCAGGCAAAATTCCCCTCATAGCATACTGTTTGGCGTATGCCCGTCTTGATAAGCCCATAGTCGGACTCGGAGCAGAACAGTAGGACGTAAAACCCCATTTATTAAGCTACATTTAGAGCTACAATTCCCCAACCTCACGACGAAATCAATCAAAGTGTATGACAATTATAATAAGTTATTGTAGTCACGTTATAAAATTTGATATAACTTAACCTACCTACAAAGGTTATATATATATATATAGTCAACATATAAAATGTCATGTCAAATCGAAGGTGTTACATTGTATTGTAGCTAATTTATACTGACAGATATGTACAGCTAGTTTATATTCATTATTTAGATATATATTGACATATATTCTCACGGCGGGGGGGGGGGGGTATTCAATGTCGTATTCTTGTTTTATTGTTACAGGTATTAACGAGAGAGAGAGAGAGAGAGAGAGAGAGAGAGAAAGGATTTAACGTCCACTCGACACAAACTAGGTATTAACGAACTAGGTTATTTCGGGATTAACACATGGTTTAATTTTATTTCAATAATTCGCTTGCGCGTAGGGGTCTTTAGCAATGGGGGGAAATCGGAAGACCCGGAGAAAACCCACGAGGTTGGGCAGGCGACCCTACTCCTTGTCACGTAAAACCGGGGAATCGAAACCAGGCCAATTGACTCAATGATAGACCTCCAGGAAGCACGATTGGGATAGACTAAATAAAAATCCAAAGGGGAAGACCTATACTGCACGTGAACTTAAAGGTCACATTGGGATAGACTGAATAAAAATCCAAAGGGGTAGACCTATACTGCACGTGGACATAAAGGTCAGATTGGTATAGACAGAATAAAAGTCCAAAGGAGTATAATGTAATTTAATAATGAAAAGGTTTAGATAAACGAAATTATACACAATTACAAATAATACCATGTATAAATAAACAAATATAACCTACTCACATTATGTACAAATAATTATAACATAAATATATACAGTCTTAAAACAAATAATTTATCTCACGGTTTTATTACAAAAATAGTTTCAATATACAGAAAATAAACAATATGTAAATACGATGAAATAATTAATTAAGTGATTAATTAATTACCTAGTAAAAAAAAAAGTTTTGAAAACTTATTTAATTTTCATTGGATATCCAATGACTATATATATAAAAAAAACAAAAAAAAAAACACTTTTGAAAACTTATTTTATTTTCGTTGGATATCCAATGACTATAAATAGTTACTGGGTTATTCCCTTTCGTACTAGATTCTTTGTTGGGGATACCCGATTGAACGTTCCGGGATTAAATTCTCTCAACTCCAAAAATAATGTCAGTCGAGTGGAAAATGGGAATTTCAGAGTACAACGCGTGTGCCGACTGCGTGAAAAATATCTCAACCAATCATGACAGCTGAAACATAATTGTTACTTAAAATACGTCACGATTCTACTCACACCACCTCAGCTGTTGGGACTGTCACATGGCTGAATTCACTTGATTACAATTCTGTCAATTCGGGACGTTCCGGGCTGACAATCGAGCATCACCGATGAGTATTTTTACTCTCACGCCCTATATAGAAATTTTATGTTCTTCATAATTGGTTTCCTGGTGGCATAATAAAGTGTTGAATTCGGTTGATCTAGTATGTTAGTTCAATTACTAATGGCGGGAGACGTATACAATTAAACGTTAGCTCCTAAATATCAAGTGAAGTATGTTTGCTTACTTATTACTGACCAAAGTTTCCATCAGCAATATCTTAAAATTAGTTCTACCTATGGATTTAAAACTGTTTTCACATAGATGTCAGATTTAATTAAATCTATACAAATGCTATACAAAATGCATATTTAGAAACATAATTATTTAAATACCAAAACTGTTGAACATTCAAGTTAATAGCGCCGTGCAAATAACAAAATACAAATGATAAAGTAGGCTAATTTATACTATGGTCTCTAACCATCCAATGCTATACTTTAAAGGGACAATAACACTCTTGCTGGCTTGACAGCTCCAGAAAATAAATTATTGCCTTATTCTAAGTATTAGAGGTTTATGTCTCCTACCTGTTGTGTAAATTATCCATTACATCCTATTTTACTTGTCCAGAGGGTTCGAAAATATTTTTAAATCCAAGTCACATTTGAAAAGGTTTACGTTAGGCTTTTTAAATCATTTAGTTGAATTCTTCCAATTTTTTTAAATTAGGTGTATTAATTGAAATATTGTAAAATAGTACAATTTGTTGACTAGAATAAAGCTTGGGACATATTATTCAGTTACAACAAGAGTGGTATTGAGCCTTTAAGAACGTTGTGTACGGCTTTGTACAAACAAATTTATGTGTCCGGACGTTTCGGCTATAGGTTAGGGTTATTCTGTGACCGAAACGTACTACATGCATTCCAATCTGTTTCAAAGAGAATTACGAGTCTTCTCTAATATCTCTGTAAAAGATGACTGCCTTTAACACGTGCCGTCACCGCACGCGGCGTCAATCATTGGCTGAATGACGCGTGCATTGTTTACATAAGACGTTACTGCTTCGGGCAGAATGCTGCCTTTTAGTCATTTTAATACCCATTTACATTAAATTGGTAATAATTTTTACCTACAAATACGTCAAACATCTTTATTTATTTTTCTAATACATCAAAAAATGTTTTAGAATTTAATTTGTGGGTGGAAAAAAGTTAATATTTGAGACTCATTAAGTCGCATTGATGTCATCCTTATCAGTGATTGTAGCGGCCTAGCGAATATTCACTGCTGATCAGTGTGTATTCATTCATCCATATATAAGTGAAACATCTATAGAGCTATATAGTTTTAAAGGATACAATATTTGTGACCGATTTTTAATTTTAATGACACCCCAGTGGCGTACTGGCGATAATTGTATCTTTATTTCATTACCTGGCTAAAGTTAAATAAATACAAAATAATATATTCCAAAGCAACTAACAAATCTGACTATCCATCACTGAAGTTATAACTTTTAGGGGATACTCGATGAACGTTCCGGAATTAAATTCTCTCAATTCCAAGAATAGTGTCAATTGAGTGAAAAGGAGAATTTCTGAGTACAACGCGTGTGTCGACTGCATAAAAATATCTCAACCAATCATGACAACTAAAACATTTGTTACCTAAAATACGTCACGATTCTACTCAAACCATCTCAGCTGTTGGGAACTGGCAGAACTGTGACATGGCTGAATTCATATCACAAGATTGCAATTCTGTCAATTCGGAACGTTCCGGACTGACTATCGAGCTGCCCCCATAAACTACGAGATGCACATAATTAAAATTGATGTTTTCAAGGAATTAAACAAACATCGTACACACATTGTACTCTTAGTGAATTCATTCTTAGCTATTAAATGATTTCTAAGGTAAAGGCTAAAAGCCAAGAACCATTGCAGATTTCGTCATAGGTCACGAGATGTAAAGATGGTTAGAGCGCGTGAATGTTGACGAGATTGACGGTTAACCCTAATTACGTCTGGTGACCTTTGACGAAATCTGCAATGGTTCTTGTCTTTTAGACCTA